GAACTATCATTTAATTTATTTATATATTTTTAATTTTGTTTTATTTTTATAATTTAAAAAATAATTATTTAAAAAAAATAAAAATAAAAAATTTCCCCCATTTATTTTTTTTAGTTTTATTAATTTTTAAAAAATTAAAATTTTTTTTTATTTATAGTATTTTTTTAAATTAATATTAATTTAAAAATAAATATTTTTGGTAAAAATAATTATTAAAAAAATTTTTTATTTTTTAGATCTTTTTAATATAAATAAAAAAATTTTCATTTAAAAAATAATACTTTGACTTTAATTAATTAATTTTAATAAAAATGAGTAATTTATATACTAAAAATGAACTTTTTAGTATGAGTGAGATACTTTATATACTAAAAAATTCATTCATTTTATTTGAAAGTAAACAAGAAAAAGTGAATGAGTTTTTTAGAATGAGTGAGATAATTACCATATTAAAATGATTCATTTCTTCTATTTTGCAAGTAGCTCAATGATGTAATACTGTCTCTTTGGAGGAGGGTATGTGGAGAATTAAAAACTAAAAAAAATAATTTATAATTAAAAAAAAATAAAAAAAAATTAAAAAAAATAAAAAAAATTAATAAAAATAAAATTAATTATAAAAAATTAAATTGTTATTAAAAATAATTAATTTAATTAAATTTTTTAATAATTTATTAATAATAGTTTAAAAATAAATTTTTTTATTTTCGCCAACTTAAAGAATAAATTACTTTATAAATAAATACAATAACAATTTATATTATGCCAAGACACACGTTTACTAAAGCACAAACTGAAATAATTGAAAAAAGAATTTATGATGATCCTTTAGAAGTTTTAGAGGAAATTTATGATAAATTAAAAATCAAACTCCCAAGATCCACCGTCAAAAATAAACAAGCTAGTCTTGCAAGAGAAAGATATAGAAGTAAAGGTAAATCATATAATTAATTATTTAAACAAAACAAATAAAACCAATAATGAATTAGATTCAATAAAATTTAAAAATATAAAATTAATACTTTAAATTTTTATAGTAACTGAAAACAATTTGCAAATTCAAAACTCTCAAACAACCAAAAACACTGGTACTTCCTCTGTAATACCTGACTTAGGTATACAGAGAAGCAGCTCATTCCAGCAAAGTGCTGAAAATATATTGGGCCAACAACCCATAGCATCCAGTCAACCACCGCCAGTCCAGCAATCAGCTCAACAACCAAGAAATGATGTGGACCCAGTTGTTGCTGGTTTTAATGATATTCCAGATGATAGATCTTTACTATCTGGTATAACTTCGCGTGTAGGCAGAAGTGGAAAATCTCATCATTCAGGTCATTCATCTCGTTATTCATATGGTTCCCGTTCGACCCATTCAAGTCGCCATAATGGTGATATTGCTAGCCAACTTGGCAGCCACATTCGCCATTCATTATATAATGCCCCATCCCATCATGGCCACCGTAATATTGCTAACGCTCGTCTCAACAAACCCAAGTAAATCACCTCTTAGTCTCGAGGAAACTCCAATGCCACTTGATCTCCTCTATGACAGGGAGGCATTTAATAACCTCGGATACATAGCTAATTTAGAAAATGGTCTATATATCTCATTCGATGAGAATAAATCCTTTTTAGTGGGTGAAGGATTTATAAACGATAACAGGAACCAAATAAAAATCAATGTTACGCAATACCACCACCGAGCAAAAACACTTATTGAACAAGTAACAAACAAGATGGTCAATATTGAAAATCAAACACGATTCACTGCCAGTATTGGTATACCCGAAGAAACCGATGATTTTTATTACGATGATACGGTTACCTGTCAACATGTAGACAACTGTGGGGTTGTCTTTATACTTAAAAAAAATCCTCGTGGTGAAGAAGATGATTAAAACCTCAAAAAAAAAAAAATTAAAAAAAAAAAATTAAAAAAAAAAAAAAACTCTCTTTTACAAAAAAATTTTAAATAAATTATATTTTATAAGATTTCATTCTTCGATTTTTTATTACACTTGTAGAGCTAAGACTTTTAATGATTACATTTGAAAATAAAAGTATTGTTGGGGCAGTTAACTATACAATTTGTTCCATTTGAAATTAAATAATAATTAAAAAAACAAAAAAAAAATTTTAATTTAAATTAAAAAAAATAATATATATAAGAGATTAACCCCAAAAGGGCTATAGGTTTTTTTAACATCAGAAAATACAATTAGTAAATAATAAAGCAACATATTATATGTATAAAAATAATAAATATATAATAAAAAGACTAATCAGTAAATAAGATCAAAAATTGAATACACTTATATATAAATAATTCATTTTCTTTTTTTTTTTTTATCATAATATTTTTTATAACAATTTATAAGTTTTTTTTATTATTTAATATCAAATCGAGTAATAGATTTGATCTATTATTTGAAAGAATGAATATTATTTGAAGTTCAAATAATAATTTATATTTTTCAATATTAAAAAAAAAAAATTTAATTTTTTTAAACAATACATAATTTATTTTTTAATAATTTTAATAATTTTTTAATTTTATTGAAATTTTTTTTTTTTTTCATATTTTAAAAATTAAAGCATTTCAACCACACACACTCGTTTTCAGCTTAATATTTTTTTTCATATAATCCAATCATATATTTTTTTATTTTCTCAACAAACATAAATCATATCAAAAATCATAATAATTACAACTCAAAACATATTAGTAAAAAATGTTAGCTTTAATTATTGCTATTTTAATCTTTATTGGTTGCTATCATTTGGAACAATATATTTCCTACAGAAAAACCAAAGTTTATGATAGTGAAATTAAATTTGCTGGTAGTTATTATGTACTAAATACAACTCCAAATAAATTAGTACCAGAACCACTAAAACCAATACCAGTACCACCACCACAACAACAACAGGCACAACAATATCCATATCAACCACTAAAGCCACAACAGCCACCAAAGCCACAACAACCACAACAGCCAAAGCAATCTCCATTTCGTTTTAGTGAAGCTACACCATTAAGTTACATTTTTAAAAACGAAATTAGAAATCGTGACTATTTATATAAATCTGCTAGCTCACCATTTTTCAGTAAAACTATGGGCCATTCACCACAAATACCAACTCCACAATGTCAATTTCAAGATAAATGGTATTCATCAATGGTTAAATATTTACCATTATTTGGTTCAAAAGGACGTCTATCAGAAGTAGAAGCCGCCCAAAAACGTTTAAATGAACGTTTAAAACTTTACCAATTAAAAAATAATAAGGTGATCCCAGGAGATGGCAATTGCCAAATGCATTCCTTATCCGATCAAATCTATGGAAATTTAAATCATAGTACAGAAATAAGAAATGCTATTGTCCAGTGGTTAAGAAAGAATAAAAATTTCTTACTTCAAAATGGTGCAAATTTAAGTCAATTTGCAAGTACTAATTGGGAAAGTTATTGCAATAACATGTCAAGAGATGGTACCTGGGGTGACCATATAACTTTATTTGCTGCCGCAGAAATTTTCAAGGCAAATATTAGTATTATATCATCGGTCGATTCTCATCAATATTTAATAGAAATTGAACCAACTACTGTTATTGCCAATAAAAATATTTTATTATCCCATCATGCAGAACTTCATTACGGTTCTTTGAGTAGGATAATATAAAATAAAAATATCAATTTCCAAATTATAAGAGCTGCCATACATTCAAGTTTACAATTAAAGAAAAGTTAAAAGGTAAATATATAAATTTTAATAATAATATAAATAAACCAATTAAACTAATATTTTTTTATTGTATGCATCTATTAGAATTTATTTAGGTATTGGCCAAACCGAAAATATTTATATTTTGATTTTTCATAATTTAAATAGAAAATGTATTCAGCATCAAATAGTAGGAAATTATATAGTTCAAATAAGTAATAGTGCTGGCAATTAGTTTAATGATGGTTCATATAGTGGTTCAAATGTTACAAATAATAAATCTAATGTTGTCAATTCAAGTGATAGGCTTCTAGTGGTAATTCAGGTGGGGTAAAGTAATCATATTTTTGCAGATATTCCAAACAAATTAAATATTAGTTCATCAAGTTTTAAAATAGAAAAAGTTGTAAATAATAATAATAATTAAAATCGAATTCAAATATCCCATTTTTAAATGAAGGTTTTAGATACCTTTCAAATGTTTTAAAAGAAATAAAATAAATAAAAAACTCGTTTTATTATATTATATTTATAATTTTTAAATAAATATAATATAAAAATATTTTTAAAAAAAAATTACAGTTAGAAATTATAGTTTTTTATTTAAAATTCTTTAATTCTATCTTTTGATCATAATTTTTATTTGTAAAATATTTTTGAATTAGTGTTGATATGTCTATGAATTGCCCATCGATACACTCAATCATATAGTGGTAATCAATCCTAAATTTCCTTGTGTTGCTTAGTATATGAACGACTGATTTTGATGAAACTTGATTTTCTATACCATATGGTTTTCTTGAAAATGGTACTCTTGCTTCTGGGTCGTTCATTTCAATTAAAGTTTGGTAGTGTTTTAAAAGATTGGTTTTTACGAAATGGTACCATGATGTTATACTTGTTCCATTAACAAGAATGCTGCCGTTATTAAAGTGCTTATAAATACAATCTAAATTGTATTACTGATATGATTTCTGCTTTTATTTTGAAACTTTCCAATTGCTTTAAAATCTTTGTTTTTTATTTTAAAATAAGATTTCATTCTTCGATTTTTTATTACACTTGCCGAGCTAAGACTTTTAATGATTACATTTGAAAATAATAGTATTGTTGGGGCAGTTAAATATAGCATTTGTTCCATTTGAAATTAAATAATAATTAAAAAAACAAAAAAAAATTTTAATTTAAATAGAAAATAAAAAAATTTTAATTTAAAAAATAATATATATTAGAGATTAACCCCAAAAGGGCTATAGGTTTTTTGAACATCAGAAAATATAATTAGCAAATAATAAAGCAACATATTATATGTATAAAAATAATAAATATATAATTAAAAAGACTAATCAGTAAATAAGATCAAAAATTGAATACACTTATATATCAATAATTCATTTTCATTTTTTTTTTTTTATCATAATATTTTTTTATAACAATTTATAGGTTTTTTTAATTATTTAATATCAAATCGAGTAATAGATTTGATCTATTATTTAAAACAATGAATATTATTTGAAGTTCAAATAATAATTTATTAAAAAAAAAAAATTTAATTTTTTTAAACAATACATAATTTATTTTTTAATAATTTTAATAATTTTTAAATTTTATTGAAATTTTTTTTTTTTTTCATATTTTAAAAATTAAAGCTTTCAACCACACACACTCGTTTTCAGCTTAATATTTTTTTTCATATAATCCAATCATATATTTTTTTATTTTCTCAACAAACATAAATCATATCAAAAATCATAATAATAATAATTACAACTCAAAACCTATTAGTAAAAAATGTTAGCTTTAATTATTGCTATTTTAATATTTATTGGTTGCTATCATTTGGAACAATATATTTCCTACAGAAAAACCAAAGTTTATGATAGTGAAATTAAATTTGCTGGTAGTTATTATGTACTAAATACAACTCCAAATAAATTAGTACCAGAACCACTAAAACCAATACCAGTACCACCACCACAACAACAACAGGCGCAACAATATCCATATCAACCACTAAAGCCACAACAGCCACAACAGCCACCAAAGCCACAACAACCACAACAGCCAAAGCAATCTCCATTTAGTTTTAGTGAAGCTACACCATTAAGTTATATTTTTAAAAACGAAATTAGAAATCGTGATTATTTATATAAATCTGCTAGCTCACCATTTTTCAGTCAAACTATGGGCCATTCACCACAAATACCAACTCCACAATGTCAATTTCAAGATAAATGGTATTCATCAATGGTTAAATATTTACCATTATTTGGTTCAAAAGGACGTCTATCAGAAGTAGAAGCCGCCCAAAAACGTTTAAATGAACGTTTAAAACTTTACCAATTAAAAAATAATAAGGTGATCCCAGGAGATGGCAATTGCCAAATGCATTCCTTATCCGATCAAATCTATGGAAATTTAAATCATAGTACAGAAATAAGAAATGCTATTGTCCAGTGGTTAAGAAAGAATAAAAATTTCTTACTTCAAAATGGTGCAAATTTAAGTCAATTTGCAAGTACTAATTGGGAGAATTATGGCAATAACATGTCAAGAGATGGTACCTGGGGTGACCATATAACTTTATTTGCTGCCGCAGAAATTTTCAAGGCAAATATTAGTATTATATCATCGGTCGATTCTCATCAATATTTAATAGAAATTGAACCAACTACTGTTATTGCCAATAAAAATATTTTATTATCCCATCATGCAGAACTTCATTACGGTTCTTTGAGTAGGATAATATAAAATAAAAATATCAATTTCCCAATTATAAAGAGCTGCCATACATTCAAGTTTACAATTAAAGAAAAGTTAAAAGGTAAATATATAAATATTAATAATATAAATAAACCAAATATACTAATGTTTTTTTATTGTATGCATCTATTAGAATTTATTTAGGTATTGGCCAAACCGAAAATATTTATATTTTGATTTTTCATAATTTAAATAGAAAATGTATTCAGCATCAAATAGTAGGAAATTAAATAATTCAAATAAAAATAGAAAATGGCAATGGTATTATAGAGTTCTGAAATAAGTAATGGTACAGGCAGTTTGTTTAATGATGGTTCATATAGTGGTTCAAATATTGTTACAAATAATAAATTTAATAATGTCAATTCAAGTGATAGGCTTCTAGTGGTAATTCAGGTGGGGTACTTAAGTAATCAAATTTTTGCAGATATTCCAAACAATTTAAATTTTAGTTCATCAAGTTTTAAAAAAGATAAAGAGTTGTAAAAAGAAAAAAAACAATAAAGTAGACATATAATAAATCAATTAAAATAGAAATAATAGTAATAATAATAATTAAAATTAAATTCAAAAAGCCCAGTTTTATATGGTAAAAAAACCATCACTTAGAATTCACTGGCACATTTTATCAGAAGAGAAGAAACCAATCAATATTTTAATAACTAAATTATTTATAAATTTAATTAAATAATTATTTAATAAATAAATTTTAATAATTAATAGTTAAATAAATAAAGAAAATAAATTATTTCATAAAATAAAAAACGGTATTTTTTATATATCTTTACAGGTGATACAAAAAAAGAATGATACTTTTGGAAGTCTATCTTTTAATTATAATTTTTATTTCTTTTTTTTTTATTAAAATTAAAATTAAAGTGAATTTCCAAAGTTAATGATTAAAAAATAAAAAAAAAATAAAAAAAAATAAAAAAAAATAAAAAAAATAAAATAATTTTAAACAAATTTAAATTTTATTTATAAAAAAGAAAACTATTGCTTTTAATTTATGAATCTTTTGAAATATTTTTTATCTATTTTGATTTTATTATTTTTAATTAATAAAACCTAAAATGTGAATGTTTGAGTTTAATAATTTTTTCATCTTTCTAAAACTTGTCTGAAAAAAAAATGCTCGAATTGGAAATATAATACAGGGGGTTTGTAGGATAATTCTAAATATTTTCATCTAGAACAATTTGAATATCTACCATATTTGTTTGGCCAGAACAAATTTGGGAATTCATCAAAAAGTTGATTAGATTGAAAAAATTAGATTGGTGTCTTCTAGTATATGGAGCTTCAGATTCATTGAGTAAGGGAAAAGTGAGGGCAAATGAATATTGGTATCTTTAATGAGAGGTTAATCTTTGAGCTTTGTGTGAACGGTTACTACATGAAGCTATAGTTGAGTGTGAAGATATTTTGGTAAAGTAGAAAGACACCTGTTCACTTAAATTTGTATGGACAGATCTATTAGGTATGTCAAACTATCTTAATATAAAAATTAAAATGGTTAGTCAATCTTTTTACTATTTCAAAGATATTAAATTCTATATATGTTGGTTGTTATTGTTGTTTTATAACTATATGATATTTTACTTACTTGTTATTTATTGTTTGAATCTGCCATGTTTAATAAAATATTTATACAGTGTAGTAAAATAAATATAAATTTGAATAGAAAATTATTTAATTTAAAATATAGTGGTATTATGTGATTATACTGCAAAATGAAAGTGTGGTATTTTACACCAAATGATTAAAATTGAATTATTTAGAAAAAACAACAACCATAAGACAAAAATAAATTTAAGATAGCAAAACCGTTGAATAATAATCTAAATTTTAGAAATAAAAATATTAATAAAGAGTTTAATATTAAATAAAAAATATAAATAAAGATAATACCTTGGTAACTTCTAAATTAGGAAACTGGGACAATGATATTTAAATATTAACCAAACTATGACTTGAATATATATGTGAATTGGTTAAAAATTACTTGAGAAATTTTTAATGTCCATAAATCTATTTAGGTGTTCGGAACGGATTGTATCACTGGTAAAATGCAAATAATTGCAAACAATATGATATGTTTCGTTATGCAATTGTGGGAAAAATTGGTGAAAACCGAGATAATCTAAATGTTCTAAGAGTTCTAAAGCGGAACACCAAACCATATCGATTATTACCATGTCGTTGATTTTACCATTGGTTTTATTATTTTTGAGGGAATTTGCCAAATCTTTGAATACAGAAACTGCACCTTCTATTTCATAAAGTCTGTACATTTGATAATTATCAATGATTTTGTGTACCTTTGCAATAACAGATTCGATCATATCTAAATGATCTTTTGAAATATTTGAATCCAAATATGCATGGGCAAATACTTTTGAAACTATTAGACTACTAATAGTTTTTATATCATCTGATACATTATCATAATAAATGGCACAGTTTACAATATTTGTAACAAAGAGGTCAAGTTGATAAGTTTCTAAACTTCCCAAAAAGTCGCCATTAGATAAATGATTATCAATAACTTTTAATTCCCCCAAGATTAAATTATTTTTTTCTGATACAAATTTTTTTGGAACCCATTGATTTAATATTAGTGGTTTCTCTTCTTGCTGTAGTTGCTCTTGTTGTGGATGTTGTGTCTCCTCTAGATGTTGTGGTTGATATTGAACCCTATGATTTAATTCTAAAAAATTGTTAGACACTATATCACTATTATAAAATTTATTTATACTATTTGATACCTACGTTTTTTTTCTAATAATCTTTCATTTATTTCTAAACTTTTGATATTATCAAAATCGGTTTGGAGTTTTTTATCATCTAATAAATTATCCAAACCAATATTTAACTCTATCAAATTATTTTGGTAGTATTCTATTATTGTTTCAAATATTAATCTATATAATTTACATAAGATATAAATTATTAAATGATAAATGTTAATACCAATATTATTTAAAAAATAATATATATTTATAAAGATCAACTTACATAGTTTGGAATACTACTGGTAATACAAAACACAATGCTTTTTCCATCAAAGTGTTGTATGAAAGAGAACTAGTGTAAGAAATTATTAATAAAAAAAATTGCATTATGATACTAATGAAAATAAATTTCCAAAAAATACCAAAATGAAAATCCTTTGAGCTTTTGGATTCCATAGCAAAGATATTTTCAATGGTGTTCTGAATGCAAATAAAAAAATAATTAATATTTATTTTTCTATTGTTGTAAATTAAATTAGAGATACTTACTTTTTTTGAAAAAATAATAGCCATTGTATTAATTACGAGGTTAAAAAATATAAATAAAAATACAATGAAAAGCCAGTAAAAAAGCTAGCTGACGGGATACGAAATGGAAGCAGTTAAAACTAAGCTATAATGGACGCAAGTGACTTTATGGTTGATATTTCTTGAATTATTATTATATTATTATTTTAAAAAAGAAGTTTATATAGAATTTTGAATTAGTAGATATTCTATAGCGAATTAATATAATTATTTCCTAAAATAAATTTAATAGATCAAAAATTTTTCCTAAAATATATTTAATAGATCAAATCCAAATTGGGTTTACCTTTATATATGTAAAAAAATGTAAATCTGCACAATTGGTAATAATTAAATTATTTAAAAATTTTTTAAAAACTCTTTGTAATAAAAAAAATTTTAAAAAATTTTAAAAAAAAAAAATTAAATAAATTTTTTTTATAATAAACTAAACAGTAATTATAATATTCAAAAAAAATTTAAATAATAAAATTTAATAATATATACAATGTTAATGAAGTTCAATTTAACAAAAAAATTACATATTTTTTTAGTTTCAAAAAATTTTATGAAAAGAGATAAATTCTTTGTTTATTCATATTTAATTGAAATAACTTTAAAAATTTAATAAAAAATAAAGAGATTAAATAAAATTAAATATCGATTGATATTATTTTGAAATAATATAACAATATAAATTGTCTATGGTTTAATCCCCAAGGTCTTTTATTAATATAAAGAAATACTAGATATTTAAACCTCAAGAGATATAATCATAATAAGAATCTTCTATGTCAATTAATTGTATTGGTTTTAATACTTAATTCAATTAATTTGTACAAACAAAATTTTTTTTAAAATAAACATTAGATTAATCATAACTTAATTTTTTTATAAAATCATTTTATTATAATTTTGTGATATTATAATTCCTATTGGTAAATAAATTTGATTTGTTAAAATAAAAAAATTAACAAATAGAAATTTTAAAAAACATTTATAATAATAATAACTTAATAAAACATTAAAATATAACAACAGCTGTTGTGTTATAACAATTTAAAGATAAAGATATTTTATTATAAATTTATAAATGAGGAAAATGTGAAAGCATATGAGTGGCTGGAAATGTAGTTTTTATAGTCCTAAAATAACAATAGATTAAAAGACAATTCTGAATAAGATGAATGCGATATTATTAGTTTTATCAATATGACCTGTCTATTTATATTTTTTTTATAATATTTTAACTTTAAATGATAGTCCATTTAATTTTAATATGTAAACATGTTTGGTTAATGGAATATTTTCAATTGGTTTTTTATCTTTATTTGGTATGTTTCTTTCATATCTTTTTTATCGTTATTATTTTTTTTTTTTTCTTTTATTTTTAAATCTTATCGCCTATTTTTATCATGCTTTTGATATGTGTTTTTTTCACCATTTATAATTTTTAAACACATAAAAACATTATTACCACATGTTGTTAAAATCCACAATCCAATATTAAATATAGAAAATAATTTATATATAAACTCACAATCCATATATTAAAAAAAAAAAAAAAATAATCTTTCTCTAACCTGGCTACCCCACTTTCACACACCTCCCCACAATATCACACACACTATTATAAAAAACCACACACACATAAATAAATAGATAATGCCATTAACTAAAAGTACTATTCGATTAACAATAATATGTGATTACAAATTTTTTAAGTTAAAGTTGAACAATGATTATTTTTTAATTATTATTTAAAAAAATTACAAATTTGGTACCAATAGAAAATTGAAAAAAAAAAACACAACATCACTATTATCAATAAATATAAATTATAATAATATAAACCAACACACTAACTACAGCGACAATAAGATAATTATTGATTTAAAAAAAAACTAATCATGCAATACTATAAATAAAAAAAAAATACAAAAATACAAAATGTTTCAAAAAGGACAATATGTAAAACTCAATTATATAATAATTATCTCAACTGAATAACACAAACAAAATTTTATAACACCACAGTTTTTATAAATAATTATTAATTTAAAATGATAAAAAAAAATTCCATTTTAATGCATAACTGCATACAAAAAATTACAAGATATTTTTAAAAAAAACCTAATTTTTACGATAAAATCATTTATAATGATACTTTTTTGAGTCTCGTTTATTTTAAAGGAATTAAAAGTAAGTGTAGATTATATTTTATTAATATTTAAAAATTTAAAATTAATTAAAATTGTAAAAAAAAAAATACAATAAAAATAAAAACTATTTAAACAATTTTTTATTTTATCATTTAAATAAAAGAAAAACAATAAAATAAAATATAAAATAAAATATAAAATAAAATATAAAATAAAATATAATTAAAAACACAGTTTAATATTAAAAATAACAAAATGTCACTTTTAAGTATGTATAATATTCGATTAGTTTTTCATAGAAATAAAATTAATATTAATTGTTTTTTTATTTCTTTCAATAGAAAATTTAACTTCAATCTCATTAAATACCAATTCATCAAAATCATTTAAAATCAATGATAATGGAAATTCAAATAGTGTCCAATCATTTAACGATATTGCCAGAGTAAACAAAATCTTTAATTCTGACCGTTGGAGAGAATTCTGGACTATTTAAATTGTCAAAAAAAACTAATATTATTTATTTTTTTTATTTAATTCAAAAAATATCAAATCAAAAAATTATTTATTTATTTATTTATTATTTATTTATTTATTAAAACTGTACTTTTATAAAAAAATCTAAAATAAAATTATTATTTATTAAAAAAAAAAAGAAAAAAAAATTATTATTGTTTTTAAATAGTTTTATTTTTTTATTGTTTTAAATAGGTATTGATAATATCAATTTCAGCGCCATCTATAAAGCATTTTGTACTTGATTTGTATTGGGAAATTAGAGACCAACAAAATTCGTTTAAATTTTTTGAACCAGAGGTTACAGCTAAATATAAAGGAGATTCGCCAAGATTTGTAAGTGAGTTTATAATATTTGGAGATTTCTTTAATACCAAATCAATAATATCCCTATTTTGATTTTTAGCAGCATAGTGAATGCAGTTCCATCCATTTTTATTTTTTTTATCTGTTTGAACTCCCATTTCTAATAAATAGCTTACAATATTTGTGTGACCATATTTACTTGCAAATAATAATGGTGTCATTTCTAGTGTTGATATGCAGCAGTTGATGTCTGCTTTATTTTCAATAAAGCTTTTAACAAAATCTAAATTTCCAACAATACAAGATTTAATAAGTGCTATATTTAAAATTCCTTTTGTTATATATCCATTATTAATTAACCATTGAATAATGTTGTTGGATTTGTATTCAATAGCATAGGTTAATGGTGTTCTGTCGAATGGGAATTCCAAATTTGAGTCTTTTTCAGCTGGATGGACTTCATCTAAAACTGATATTTCTAATAGATGAGGATTCTTTACCATATACCATTGAAATACTTGGATAAAACCTGATACTGTGATTCTGCATAAAGTAACATTGGTTGATAAACCTGAAGAAACTGAGTTATATAGAGTTGGGTCTGATTTGAAGCTGAAATTAATGATATCTTCGTCGTTGAAATAGTCTTTTTGGAACTGGGTAAATGGATAATCATGGTAAATTGTTTCTAATTTTTCTGTAATTCTTTTAAAATCCTTAATCAATGCTAAATAGTAAAGTCTCTTTAGGTTTCTAAAGATAATAGAGATATTCATAACTTCTTGATATCTATCAAGCTTGTCTTGGAAATCTTGTTGTTTGTTCTGAATAATTTTTATCCTGAGGAAATCTTTTTTTGATGCTTGCTCTTGTTGTAGTTGGTTTTCCTCTAAAATGTTTTTATATTGATTTAGTAGTTCTAAAACTTCATGAATTGATTTAATGTTTTCTTCAAAGTGAATGATCATATTTGAAAAATCTAAACCTTCTAGTAAATCCATCATTTGAATTATTAAAATATCTTTTTGTATCATCTGTTTAGCTATATCATGAAGGGCAACCTTTTCGATATTCTTATTATACTGGAAATGGTGTTGGGTTTTTAAAAGTTCCAATCTATCATTTCTTAAGTTTGCAAATAAACAATCTCTAATGTACTCTTGTTGCCATTTTTCACCACAGTTTTCTAAATAAATAAATGTATCAATTGAATATCTCTTCTTGAAATCTTCAATTTTTTGATTAATTTCCCTATTTTCCAATCCATACCCGACCCCTACTAAAATAACTTTGGGTCTAAATGAGTTGCTGCTGTCTAAAAATGATTTACTGCAATATCTATCGAAAATTTCAATTGTTTCTTGTATTGTTTCACCCATTGATAAATCAAAGAATAAAATTAATGATGATGAATTTCTTAAATAAAGTGAGGTTGTAGGAGATGATTCCTTTTCTGGTAAATACCAAAACTGATAGTCATAGTTTAAATTCTTTATGTTGTCATTACAGGTTAAAGGATTTTTTGAATTTGAACCAATTAATCTTTTAAAATAACTAAGGTGCTTATCTATACCACATACATTTGATTTAAAAATATTTGTTAATGGTATATTATTATTATTATTGTTGACGTTATTATTATTATTTAAGTTATTGGTATTATTTATATTTGAATTTAAAGCACCACCACTTGTACTTAATAGGTTTCCACTTCCATTTATACTACTTGATAAATCATTCTTTAAATAAATTGTAGGGTTCAATATTAGGTTCTTTAGTCTGGGGGCATATCCTACTATTGAATAAATATTTGGGCAATTGTCAAAATCAATAATTTCAACACTTTGTAAGTTTATCGATACCTTTTCTAAATTTGGGATATTACTTGAAACAAGTTTTACTAATTGTGGGAAATTGAATGATATTTCTTTTACAAAGAATTTACAATTTGAAACATTTAATTTTATAAGTTTGCTTAGCTTGGAGATATTTTCTAAAACTTTGGAATCGATTATTGAACCAGATATATTTAATGATTCTAATAATGGTGCTGTTAATTCAAGTATCTTTAGTTGAAAACAATTTTCTGCTCTTAAAACTTTAAGATTGTCGGCTTGGATTTTTAACATAAATAATTGGGAACAATTGTCCAGTGTTAAATGGGTGAGTGATGGCATTACAACAGCTTGGTTTCCAATAATACCAGAGTTTGCAATTGAATCGATTTCACTCTCTGTTAAATCCATATTTACAATAGAAGAAAGTTTAAAGTTTTTAAATAATGTTGATTTTAAAACTTTGCTCTGTCTAATATTTATATATCTTAAATCCTTTCCTTTAATGTGGTCAAGTAGATCCTTTTCTTGTGCTATAGTTAATCTTGAGAAATTTGCCTCTTTCAATAGCTCTTCGAGTATACCTTCTGTAATATCTTTGTCTCTTTTTATTTTTTCACTTTTATTTGGCATTGGGGATGATGAAGCTGAGAATGAAATTTTTTTACCGCCTTGTAAACTTTTAAGTTGACCCAAATCTTTCAAAATTTGATTAATTTTAGTATGTTGATTTTTAATCATCTCAAGCTCGACTATTGCTTGATCAGGGCCATATTGTCCTAGTAATAATTGGGTTTGAATATCTCCTGCATTTGGGATATCTGATGATTCTAAAACAAAAGATGATGGATGGGCTGAGCTTGTTAACGAGATAATTCCATTGATATGTTCGTTTTTGTTTAGGTGTTTGATTCTTTCAAATTTATCATAAAGGTTTAGCTCTTTATTGTTGAGAATTGGTTTGTAACGAGCTGCTACTAGTGGCTCTAGAACTTCTAATAGTTCTAAATGTGTAATTGGTTTTTTTCTTTTTTTATTTAGTTCAGTTTGTAAACGCATAAGCTTTGTGAATAGTTGCTTTATCATTCCTGGTGCAAAAGATACACCGACTACAGTTTTTCTTTTTGATGTTTTTTCTTTAAAGTTGTAATTTATTTTAGAGAATAAACTTACTGCATTTTGGTGATGAATTTTTAAACTTGTTAACCAATGACCGAGCAAAATATTTAAATCTTTATCTTTGATTGAATCAATAACATCTTGATGAATAGGATCGTTCATTTGATCTAATAAAAATAAAACTGTTTCAACTTGTAATGATAACTTGGTACCTGATAAACCTGAACCCTTAATCTCCTTAGATACTGCTGGCATAAAAGCTTGATCATTATCAATTGCAATAATACGATACACTTGAGGTGAATCATTCCCAAACGATTTTCCCTTTTTACCTCTTTTGCTTATATAGTCATTTGGTGCAACAATATAGTTCGCTAAATTACCATCGCCGGGATTAATTAACATTGCAGTTAATAAAACTTTTGAAATATTTGATGGATCCAAATTACCAAGTTTTTTTGGGTCATTTAAACAATTTATTAATGGTTCGCCCTTGACACCTTGTGATAACAGTACTGGTACATCATTGATAGCGGCTAATTCACAATAGGGCGAAATATACCCAAAAAGAGAACTGGAAAGACGAGTAACTGCATATTCTGTACCTGGGAGTTGAGGTTCAAATTTTATATATATTCTAAAACCATTCTTTTTAATAAATGGAACCGATCTGAGACCAAAAGGATTGGGTTTAATAGGTGAACCGTCTGTATTAAATATATCCCTCCAAAATTCTGGGCTTATAATTCTTTCGCCTTCAGATGCAGTTTTAATAATTTTTAAATTGGTTTTAACAGTTGATGGTGATTGAGAAACTGGTATAAAAAATTGATCTATTAAAATTTTCCAAATAATTTTTGGGTTTACAAAACATAGTTTTGATAAGTATGGTTTGAGTTCATCTTTTTGATATTGGCTGAGTGATTTGTAAAATGAATTAATCTTTTCTATATGAACTTGACCATATGTTGAGGAGCTACCGGCACCTAAATCAATTAATAGTTTGAATAGTTCGTAGTTTTTACTATGACAGCTTAAGCATAATGGGGATATCCAAGATGATTCTGTATCATCAATTTCTGCGCCGAATGAAAAAAGGGTGATAATTTGTTTAAACATATTTGGAGTGTTTGAATTGATAGCCACATGAACCAAAGAACCATGTTCATTATCTGAAATTTTGTTTAAATCCTCTTTTGAAAGATTGCAAATGTTTATAAACTCTTTTAGAATGATATCGGATGCATTATTTTGAATTAGCTCTACCAAAACACTTGAGGATGATTTATACCATGACTCGTGTAATTTAAGTACCTCGTTACATTTTAATTCCTCGGTGCAGAAATTATCCTCTACGGTGGAGTGTATAGTATTTGATTTACCTTCTAAGAAACTTTTGATTTCCATTATTTTTTCAAACCATTGGACAATATCTTCACCTTCGGCAAAATCATTATAGCTTGAGTTTAATATTAACTCCTTGATGGTGTCTTTTAATGAAATAGAACTGTTTAAATTTAGAAATTGTTTTTTTGAAAGCTGTTCCAACATTGAGTTTAACTCTTCTGGTAAATTATTGATTAATACATCTGTAAATTGAGATTGGCTAGAGTTTAAACTATCAATATGAGATAATGGGTCTTTAACAGCTCTAGATAATGCTTCATAATAGGTGCTCGCAAATGGATGAATTTGTTTAAATAGCTCCATATGAGAAACTATACCTTTTGATTTTAATATTCTTTTAATCTTTAAAAATCTTGATAGGATATCTGTAATTAAGCCAGGAATGAATTCAAATGGTAGATGTAAATTTTGAAGAGTATTTTCTAACACCTTTTTCTTATTTTCTGTTTCGATGGGAATTGATTTTTTGATGAAAGAGTAATAGACCGATTCTTTTTCAATTTGTTCTATTAACCAATTCAACAAGAAAAGATTTGGATGATGCGAAATAAATTGTTGTCTTATGGTTTTCGAAACTTCCTCGGCCATTAATGGTAGAGTATACAAAACATTCTTGACACGGACAAAATATGAACAAACAGGATCCCTGACAATTCTTTGAATTTCTTCAGATTCTAAACAACCGTCGTTGTCAATGCCTACAATATTGCCAGTGTCTTTTTCAATTGTTAAATTATCAGCCTTGTAATCCGTTGGTAATAATAATAAACTTGCTAAAATATGACCACTAAAGCTGTCTCTATTTATTGAATCATATAATGATTGATCATTCTCTGCTCTTTTTAAAAATGGGTCCATATTTTCACCTTCAATATACAAAGATCCTTGAATGTATATTGCTCTTTGTCGATAAAGGGCATTTCCTATTCTACGCTCTAGACCAGGTTCAAATTTAAAAGCTTCCCTTGCATTTCTAACATTATGACGCATTTTTAATTCAAATAAATTCTTTCTTTCTTCACAATCTTGTGGTGGTAAAATGGGTAGCTGACTGATTACAATTAGTTGAGTTGATGTTATATATTTGTCGTGGCCATATAGATTTTTGTAGAATGAAAAGACAGCATTTTCCCTTGCAGGACGCAATAGTGTGGAGCCATTGTCTACTTTATAATAGACCCCATTTACTTTTCCACCAATACTAAGACCATTTTCATTTTTTCTTTCGTATTCGTATTCGTTTGGATTATAGGACGCAACTTCGTATGCTTTCTCCAATGATATTTCCCTATATATTAAATTTTCACCCAGGATCAATGGATTTGCATCTAAAATTTTAAAAGTTTTTGATTTTCCTTGCAAATTGACCTTCTCTACCAAATTTGTTATAAAAATTCTATACTGCTCTATCAACTCCTTTAATAATGGTTCTATTGGTGTGTCATTAAAAAAAGTATTTAATAAAACTTGAAACTTCTCTATTCTTAACTTTAAAGGGTCAAATATTTCGTTTGCTTCATTTGGTGCATTTAAAAAATTTATTCTAAAATCGTCACAACTGGCCAATAAAGATTCCGGTGGAACAATAAAATTCAAAACTTGTTTTAAATTTTCTAAATCTTCATTATGACTACTATTACTAATATTAAAGCTATTACTTTTACTAATATCATAGCTATTATTATTGTTTATATAATTATTGATAATTAAACCATTTATTATAGAATCATCACTTTTATTACCATTAGTATTATTGTTTTCTGCAAATTTTTTAATGAATTTATAAATTTTTAATTTTATTTGGTGATAGTGGGCTGGTTTTGAAATTCCATCTATTAAATCTGAAAGTTTTATTTTTTTTTCTATATATTCATCATTTTGATTTAAATTTCTACTTTCAATTAATTTTAATTCTTCATTTAGTTCATGTTTTGAATTGTCGATTAAAATCTCTTCCATTATTTTTTGAATTCTAGTTTTCAAAAACAATTAGTTTTTTTATTTTATAATTAAAAAATTAAATAATTTATAAATAAACTTACTATATTACTATATTAATGGTGGATAGATTTTAATAAACAACACGTGTTGGTATAGTATGGTATATGATAAATGATTTAATTTTATAAAAATATTTTTTAACCACCTATTGTATTTTTAATGATATGAATTGAAAAAAAAAATATATATATAAAAAAGTATTTTTATTTGTATTTAATTATTGTTATATAGAGATGAATTATATGGATAAGTTTTGTGTAATTATAATTTATCTGTTATGTATTTATTTTATTTATTTATTTAATTATTTACTGTTATTTATTTAAATAAATAATTTTTGTGAAGTTATTGCTATTATTACCTTTCTACAAAACACACAGTTGTACTATTGCTATTATAATAATCTTATTTTTTTAGAGTTATTATTATTTGTTTATTTTTTAAATATGTAATATTGTTAAATATTATTTTTCAAATTTACAAAAAATAAAAAAAAAAAGCAAAAAAAAAAAAAAAATTATATTATATATATTATTTTAGTCTATTATTATTATCAATTACAATAAAGAATTAAAATTATTATTAATGTTTTTTTTTTTAATTTTAAAAAAAGAAAGAAAGTGTGCTAAAATATATGTATTAATATATTCTCTTACCCCCATAATTTAATTACAATAAAAAAAAAAAAGCACAAGCATACACATAAACGCATACACACACATACACACACACACAAACATCATTTTTTATTTTTGGGTTATTTTTTTATTTTGGGAGGGTGAGTGCTTTTTTATATCTTTTATTTGTTTTTCTTTTAAATCTTTTTTATATTCTAAATATATCATCCATTCATTATATATTAATTGATTATGAAGTTGAACATGGTTATTCGAATAAGATAAAATTTTAAAACTCAAAATTATTAAAAAAAAAAAAAATTTTTTTTTTTTTTTTAATTTATTTTTTTTTTCACAAAATCCCTCTTTTTTCAATTATTTTTATCATTATGTAATATATAATTTACAAAACTGAACTTATAAATTAAATTTAAGAGCCTCACACTAAAGTATTTATCTTTTATTAATATTAATTCTGTTTATTCTAAAAGTTCATCAAGTTTACAAAAATTAATTATAATATTTAATTAAATAAATATATTAAAATTTGTATTTTCATCTTTAAAAAAAAAAAGTGTGTTTTTATAATCAATAAATAAATATAATAAAAATAAATCATGATTATAAAAAAAATTATAATTAATATCTTAATATTTTATAAAACAATAATAATTAATAATACTATAATACTATAATATTAAATATAATAAATTTAAATGCTTAGATATGTATTTAATTTTGTGAAAAATGATAAGAATCAAAATGATAAAATTGAAGATAAAAAAAAATATAAATATTTAATTAAACATTTATCAAATCAAACTAATAATAAATTTAAAATAATTGATATTTTAGGAAAAGGTAATTTTGGATTTGTTGTAAAAATAGAAAGATATAGTGAAGAAGGAATAGGATGGTTTGAAGCTATAAAAGTAATAAAAAAACAAAACTTTGTAAGTATAAACTATACTATATTATAAACTAAACACAGTGTTTTCTAATAATGTTTTTTTTATTGTAGAACAATGACGAAATTAGTATATTGGATAAATTAAAAACAATTAACCATCCAAATATTTTAGAGTACTATAATTTTAAAGAAGATGAAAGGTATTGTTATTTATATACAGAGTTTATTGATGGTCTTTCAATCGATAAAAAATTGGAGAAATTAGCAACAGGAAGCTTTTCAAATAATCATATGGTTTATAGTATCACATGTAGATTATTAGATGCATTATATTATATCCATAAGGAGAATATTATTCATAGGGACATCAAAAGTGCAAATATTATGATATCAAGTAAAGGAGTTGTGAAAATTATTGACTTTGGACTATCAAAACTCTTTGAAAACGACTCTAAAAACCATTCCTTTACCGGTACAATCAATTATATGGCTCCTGAAGTATTATTATGCAACAATACAGCTTCAAGAAAATCTGATGTTTGGTCATTAGCATGTACAATTATTGAAATGACTGGTGGTGATTTAAAAAAGAAAAAAGAAATAAACAATCAACAACAAAAGAAATCCAAACAACAATATATAAAAGAAATTCCAACTTATTTAGCACCATCTTTAAAACATTTTCTGTATAATTCCCTTAATGTAGATCCAAAGAAAAGATACAATATATCTCAACTAATCGACCACCCATATATAAAAAGGGTGTGTAATTAAATATTGATATTAAATATAATAAAAGGACTGTAATACTAATTAACTTTTATATATATTAGAAAAACACAAATAATGAAATTATATTAATTAATGAAGGTGGAGAAATAGCTATGTCAGATTCTAAAGTTGATATTGGATTGGAATGTTTATTTTCATTCACAAACAATAATGGTGTATCCATATTAAATATAATTGAAGAGGTTGGTTGCGGTCATTTTAAAATCGAAATTATAAATGACTCAGAGTTTTCCAAAGGCCATTATTTAATAAAAATTTATAGTAAGGAGAATGTATGTATTAGTTTTTGTATATTATTTATTAACCGAGTATTATACTAACTTAATCATTTCTTTCAGAATTGCGACTCTAGTTTTATTAAAGTAAATAAAATAATAAACCATCATAGTTTATCAAAAACAGTTATTAAGTCATACCAAAACAATTTAATATGTTTTATCAAATATAAGGAAGGAATAACACTATATAGCTTTATTGAAAAATTTAAAGATAAAATACCACATATAATAGTTAAGATAATAATAAAACAGATTTTAGAGGCAGTTCTTTATTTATTCGATTTGAATATAAAAAATATAAATCTATCCAGTAATAATATAATAATAAATAATGAATACCAAATATTCATCACCGACTATTCAGCAACACAAAATATATCATCCCATTTAAAACAAATTGGTAATTTGGTACTGGAAATGAATGGCTACCAATGTCTAGATTTAGAAAATAATAATGCACACTCAGTCACTCATAATAATTTAGATCAATATTGTATCAATTTTATTCAGCATTGTTTTTTATACAAATATATCGAAAGAGACTCTATCACAACATTACTAGACCACAATTATTTAAGAAATGACTATTGCAACGACAATATTTTGTACTGGGATATAAATAAACCGCTGTGCCCTCTTTCCATCTCGATTAATGTAGATACTATTATTTTTGGTCCAAAGTATAATAAACCAATAGAAAAACTCCCAAATAGCATAACAAGTATAACATTTGGCCCTTCTTTTAACCAACGAATTTATTCTGGGTTTCTACCTACAAACTTAAAATCAATTACTTTTGGAAGGGATTTTAATCAACCGTTACTTTCAAATAGTATTCCATCAAGCAACAAAACAGAAATTAACTATAATGGATACAATAACCAGCCCATGATTGTTAGGAATAAAAGCGTATCATCGTTAGAATTGATTCCATTATCAAGATCTACCCCAAACAGAGTCTCATCAACTTTTAATTTCGATGCTTTCTTGTGGAAATCTTTGAATGAAAGTGTTATACCCAAAAGCTGTACCATGGTATCCCTTGGTTATTTTTTTAACCACCAACTAAACCTTCCATCTGATGGATCAATTACCAGACTAGTTATGAGTGATTGTTTTAACCAACCTATTACCGTTGGCTCTTTACCAAAAACCATACGCTTCATTTCATTTGGCGATTGCTTTAATCAAGAACTAACCAAAGGTATATTACATGACGAAATTGAAGAGATTTCTTTTGGGAACTGCTTTAATCAAGTCCTTTCAACAAATTCATTACCTTCAAATTTGCGAAAACTGTCATTTGGATTTTGGTTTAACCAAGAGCTAGCTATTCCCAATAACTTGGTTTCCCTTTCGTTTGGAGACTCTTTTAATCAGTCTATCGATGGTTTGTTCAATAACTGCAACTCATTAAAGGAGCTAAAGTTTGGTTATTGCTTTGACTGTACAATCAAATATGGTAGTTTCCCCATCACACTAGAGACATTATATTTTGGGGGTAGCTTTAACAAACCTCTGGATATAGGAATACTTCCTATCTATTTAACCAAGCTGGTATTTGGCAGTAACTATAATCATATTATAAAGCCCAACTATTTACCACCAAATCTCTACTCTCTTCAATTTGGTGATAAATACAACCAACCAATACTAAAAGATAGTTTTCCAAGTTCAATTAAAGAAGTTGTTTTTGGTAATAGCTACGAGTACCCACTATCATCATTTTATGTATATAATGGAGCAGAATTAAACATCACAAAATTTGACATCAATCCAACCATTTTAAAATACTCACCAAAAAATGAAATTAAAAGAAATCAAATACCACCCTCAGTGACAAAACTTTCATTAATAGATTATAGTTATGATTTTACAACAGAAGCAATACCAACCTCCATTATTTCACTCAGTTTATCCAACTATATAAACATTGGATTACTTTTAAAACTACCATCAAATATTATTGATCTTCATTTAATTTATAATGATAAGGTCGATTATAATAAACTAAAAAATCAAATAATTAAATATATACCATCAAACATTACATCATTTAAAATAAATGAAGAGTATATATATTTAAAATAATAAAGAAAAAAAAATAAGATATAGTTTTACAAAAACACTCTTTTATTTTTATAAAAAATTAAAATATAATTAATTCTTTTATTGTTTATTTCTTTTATTTATTTCTTTTATTCTTTTGTAATATCTTTATTTGAAACAACTATAAATGATGGTGTGTTTTTATAAACTAAATGATTTTGACTTTTGCTACTTCTTGTAAAGAATCCACTTCCATTATCTTTTGATAATAATAAATCTAGTAACTGATTGCTATTAGATTGAGTTGCGTAATGAAGTGAGGTTAAACCATCTCTATTTCTGCAATGAATATCGGCGCCATTATCAAACAAATACCTGACTACATCTAAATGACCATTTTTTGCGGCAAATAACAAGGGACTCATTTGAAGATCGACTGGGTAGTAATTTATATCTGCACCGTTTGAAACAAACATTTTAACATATTCTAAATTTCCGTTCATTGATGCTCTTAATAAACCTTCATCAATTATTGAATTTTCTTGTAATATTTCATTTTTAATTAACCAATGAAGAATTTCTGTGCATTTTTGATCGATTAGAATTGAAAGTGGAGTTATACAATTTATCCATTTTAACTCTTCCTCATCCCCCAATAAATAAGTTGTGCTTGTTGATGATGTTAAACTTGGGTTAACCTTTAAATTATGTTCACCACTGCTTGATAATGATCCACCATTAGTGCTGTTATTTCTCGATTTGTGTTCTGTTGGGAAACAATCGTCAAATGGACAATTTAATAATTTTGGATCTTTTAATTTAATAAACAATTGGAAAGGCAACAAGAAACCCGAGTAACATATTCTTGGAAGTATTGAATTGGACGAAAAACCAGATGATGTTGTTTGGTATAATTCTCTAATTTCTGAAAAACTAAAATCAATGTTATCGTCGTAATCTTTGAAATATTCTTTTTGGTATAGTTCTAATTTCTTTGAATAGATTGGCTTTAGTAGGTCAATAACTTTTTTAACATCCCTAATTAATGCAATATAATATATTCTTTTTAGATTTCTAAATGCCACACCAATTAATTCTTTATTTGTATTTAGTTTATTCTTTAATTCATTCTTTTCTTCTTCATAATACTTTAATGATAAACTGTTATTGTTGTTGCTATTGTTGTTGTTATTGTTGTTATTGTTTGTTGTACCGTTACCATTTGCATTTAAAATACTTTCGACATATGATGCCAAGTTACTACTACTATTACTGTGATTACTATTAGTACTTCCATTACGACTATGAATACGAATATTACTACTACTGTTATTTCTACTGTGTATTCTATTGGATTCTATTAACTGCTTAATTAATACATCTACGTTGAATAATTGAGTTAACAATTCGAAAATTATTGATATTTTCTTGATTTCATCTTTAAAGTAATCTATTAGATCTAATAAATCAACTCCATCAAGCAACTCTAGCATTTGAATTATTAATACATTGTTGTTTAAGAGATGAGATGATATTTTTTGAACCTTAAAATATTCAATTTCTTTTCTACATTGGAATATATGCTGATTAATTAATAGCTGTATTTTATCATTTCTTAAAATTGAAAATAAACTATCTCTGATATAATCTCTTTGGAATTGCTCTGAAATGTATGGTAGATAAATAAATGTTTCGATTTTATATTCATCTCTAAATTGTTTTAACTTGAACTCGCTATCACTTTCTACACCATAACCAAATCCAAATAATATAATCTTGACATTAAATGAATTGTTTTTTATATACTGACAATAGCTTTTAAAAATTTCAATTGACTCTTGAGCTGGAGCCATAGAAAGGTCAAAAAACAGAACCATCCAAAAGCAATTTCTTAAATATAAATCGATAGTGGCAGTGTTGCTTTCTTTTTCTGATAAATACCAAAATTGAAATTCATGGCTCTGGCTTTTAATATAATCTGTGCAATTGGAAACATTTGAATGAGACCCAATCAACTTTCTGAAATAAGGAATGTGTTTATCAATACCACAAACGTTGACCTTGCTTGATGTAAAGCTATTACTATTGCTATTACTGATACTATGAGATGATGTTGTTGGTGTTGGTAAATTATTTATTGATGGTGATTTAAAATTAAAATCTGCATTTATTTCTAATATTTTTAATAATGGTGCTGAGCCTGTAATACTTGATAATTTTAAGCAGCCCTCTAAATTTATGTATTCTACTTTAGGTAAATTAAAATGTACTCTCTCGATAGTTGTAATGTCATTTGCGATAAACTTTATCAATGATTCAAAATTGACCAAACTAATCTCTTTGATTTGTGGCACTAAAAATGATTTTGAAATATTTAAGTTTACTAAAGATTTAAACTTTGATATTTTCGAAATTGCTTTTTGGTCTATATTGCTATTTGATAGTTTAACCTCCTCCAAACTAGGGGCATCAACTCTAAACTTTAACAATGGACAATCTGAGCAATTTAAAACTTTGAGATTATTAGCATGAATTTTTAAATTCACTAATAATTTACAACCACTTGTTATTAAATGAGTCAAAGCTGGCATTGATATATAACTACCCTTTAGTAATTTATTACTATTTGAAATGCTTTCAACTTTACTATTGGATAGGTCCATTCTTATTACAGTTTTTAAATTGAACGTTCTGAAAATTGAGGTTTTGATTAATTCGCTATTTTGAAGGAAAAGGTATCTTAATGCTTTTCCCTTAATTGAATCAAATAAAAACTGTTCTTGTTGAGATGTTAACTTTTTGAAATCCAGCTCTTCAATAAGCATTTCTATGATACCTTCAGATAACTCTGATTGAGTGGAGCTTTGAAATTGATTGGGTCGGTTCAAATCACCTAGTATCTCTCTAACCCTTTCTTTTTGTTCGATAACTTGAGTTAACTCGTGGATTGCTTCAGAGGGTGTAAACTTCATTGACCATAACTCTTTATGAATTGATTTAATACTTGGATACTCTCTTGATGATAAATAATCCGATAGTGGATGGTTTGTAAGAGTTTGAGAATTTAAATTTTTTAATTGAATATATTTTTCTCTTATAGTTAATTGTTGATTAAATAACAGTGGTTTGTAACAAATTGCAACCATTGGTTCAATAATCTCTAATAATTCGAAATGGGTCAATGGATTCTCTTTTTCTTTATTAAATTCGGTTTGTAGTCTTATGAGCTTTGTATAAATTTGTCTAATAGCACCTTGATAAAATGGAACACCTATTATTGTTTTTCTTTCTTGATGACTTTGATTAATATTAAAAAAAATACTCTTGAAATGCTCAATAAAATCATGGTTCATTGATTTTAAAAATTCTAGCCAATTTTTTAAAACTGTTTCAATTTTAATTTCTTTAATCTCTTTAACAACATCTCTATGAACTGGTTCATTCATTTGATTTAATAAAAATAATATTGTTTCTACTTGCAATGTTAATTTTTGACCGTCTTTGGTAACTGATGGCAAGAATGAACTTTCATTATTAATTGGTATAATATTATATCTTAAATTATTATCCTGTGGTGAAAATGTATTATTTAAATTGTTGCTACTGCTATCTATTGGTGAAATATAATAATTATTTAAACTGACATCATTTGGATTTATTATCATTGACATTATTAATACTTTAGAGATGCTGTATGGATCTAATTGTGTTAATATTTGATTATAGTTTGGTTTCTCTAATAGTTCCTGTAAATATTGGCCTCTGATACCTTGATATAAAAGTATTGGGGAATCTTTTAGTGATCCTATTTGACAATAGGGTGAACAAAATTTAAATATTCTTGTAAATAAATCTACTACAGCCAACTCCAAACCTGGATAGGTTACATCAAACCTGATATTGATACGTAATCCTTTTTTTTCTAAATAAATTGAATTTTTGTTTGAAATCCTTGAAATCAATGTGGCCATAGATGTAGCACCAAGTTGGCCAAATACCTTATTCCAGCTCTCCAGAGAGATTACTCTGTCACTTTCTGAAACTAATTTCAATACAATGTTTCCTTTGAGGTTGTTTATATTTACAATATTTTCAAATACTTCGTCCAATGTTAATTTTAGTGATAATTTTGGATTTACGTAAGTAAGCTTTACTAAATACTGATAAATATCATCTGGTATTGTCTTTGGGTTTTCTAAAACCGCTCTTATAGCTTCATATTTTGTATTTGATCCAGCACCTAAGTCTACCAATAATTTGAATAAACCATAATGTCTATTATAAGCACTGATACCTAATGGGGTTGTCCAACTACCTTGAATATTTTCAATATCGACCCCCAATGACTTTAATGCATTTAATTGGCTAAATAGTTGCGGTGTATTTGCATTAATAGCAATATGTATAATTGACCCTCCTTCATTGATTTCGTTGATATCTTTAATTGATAAACCAACCATTTTAATAAACTCCTTAATTACTGTATCCGAGGCCCCAAGCTTAATTAATTTGACTAAAATTGATTTTGAGTTTTCACCATACCATGATTGGTGTAATTTGATTTTTAATTTATTATTATTATTATTTTTATTATTGTTTACATTATTTTTATTCTTTAAACTATTTTTAACTAAATTGCTTGCACCATCTTTTTCATTAAAACCACCTTCACTTGAATTATCAACTTCGCTTGTACTATCATCATTATAAGATGTGCTATCGTGATTTATTTCTTCATCTTCTTTTGGTACAATATCATAAAGTTGGTTTTTTACTTTAATGATAAGCTCTAACCATTCAATTAAATTTTGACCTGGTAAAAATCTTCTATAGTCTGAAATTAATAGTAACTCTTTGATCGTTTCGACAATAGATTCTGAAGGTTCAGGTGGTTGTTGTTGTTGACTGAAACTATATGCTAAAAGATTTTCTCTTGATTTATTTGACAGTAATAATTTAAAGTCATATTTTAATTGATATAGCGCATCCATAAGATCGATTGGTTCTTTATATTTTTTAGCCAACTCTTGATAGAAAAAATTTGCAAATGGACATATTTGTTCAAATAGCTCTTTGTGTGTTGTTAAACCATTTATTGTTAGAATATCCCTTATTCTTGACAATCTTGACAACATATTGGTTATCCATTCCTTAGGAAATTTTATGGGCATTCCCAATTCCTTTAGGGATTTATTCCTTTGCTCCTCTTTATTATGCTCTAGATCAAACTGGGTGGTAGACTCGACAAAACTCTTGTATTCATTTTCTTTTTCAAAAATTTGAACTAACCAACTTAAGATAAATAAATTAGGGTGTTGCTTTAGTATCTGAGTCCTGACCTTTTGATTTATTGGTTCTTTCATTAATGGAATGGTGAATAATACATTTTTAAAATTTACATAATAACTATTTGTGTTTCTTTTATCCAATTCACCCCCTTCTAAGCATGAATCGTTGTCTATACCAATAATCTTATATTCTTTAACACCAGTTTCCTTATCTTCAATACAAGATACCACTAAACTATCTGGTCCATAATCGTTTTGCAACAATAGAATACTTGACACAATATGGGCACTATAGCTCTCCCTTTCTAAAAACCTGAATAAATCTGGATCTTCTTTTGCCCTCTTTAAAAACTGTTGAAAACTTTCGGCATTTTTTACCTCAAGAGTACTTTGAACAAATACTGATCTTCGTTTCTTTAAAGATCTTTCAATTCTTCTTTCTAACTCTGGGTCAATATTGAATATTTCACGAGCAAGTTTTTTATTATGCTTTTGTTTAAGTATTGATAAATCTTTTCTTTCTGGCTGATCTGCATTAGGGGGTAATATTGATATTTGGTTTAAAGCCAACAATTGAGATGGTGAAATAAGTTCTTGTTGATCCTCTTCATCGAACATTAATCTATAAAATTGATGAACTGCATTCTCTCTGGCTACTTGTAAATTGCTATCCACCACTTTAAAAAACACACCATTTACATAACTTCCAATAGCTAATTGACCATTAAAATTCTTTTTACCATTATATTCATACTCTTTGGAATTATAAGAAGCAATTTCATAGGCTTTTTCTAAGGAAATTTCCCTATATAATAAATCTGATTCGCACACTATTAGCAATGGTTTACACTCAAATATACTAAAAGACATTGTTCCTTCTTTGGCTTTTTCGACTAAATTTACAATGAATTGTTGATAATGTTCTACCAAATCATTTAATAATTCTACTACATTTTGATTATCCAAAACTATTTTGATATATTCTTTAAAATTTTCGATTCTTAATTTTAATGGTTCAAAAATTTCATTTTTTTCATTTGGGTTACTTAAAAAACCAAATCTAATATCATGATCACTTCTTAAAATAATTTCTGGTAGTTCTATTTTATTTATAATATCATTATTAAAACTATTATTATTATTATTATTATAATTATTATTATTATTAATATTATTACTATTATCTAATATATTTTTAATTTTTAATTTAATATGTTGATAGTATGCTGGTTCTGATAAATCTTTTATTAAATCTATTAATATTAAATATTTATCGTTATGAAATTTTCTTTTTTGCATTTTTATTATTGAGTAAGATGGGTATTGTGTAAAACAAATCTAAAATCTATAAAATAGAGCTGAGTATCTAAATATTAATTTATTTAATGATTAAAAGAATAAATATCAAATTAATAAATTTAAAAATTAATATTATTTTCTTTTTTTTTATTTTTTTATTCTTAAAATTATTTTAAATTATTTTTCGTTATACCCTAAAATATAATAATATCTTATTTGAAAAAAAAAAAAAAAAAAAGAAATACATATGGTACAGTGTCTATAATTTATTTTTGTTGTCTTTTTTCTTTTCTGATTTTTTAAATTATTAATTATTTTATAAAACTCATTACACGCATAATAATATAAATAATTAAGAAAAAAAAAAAAAAAAAAAACTAATGGAGGAGTGATAAATAATATCCATTTTAAATGAAAAAAAATAAAATAAAAAATATTTAAAATAAAAATAAAAAATGCATATTATTTATTCAAACTTTATTATAACAATGTAGAATGAAAAAATAATTATTTTTGTGTGAGAGGGTGCAGTTGTTTCTTTTTTTAGTGGGGGTGTGAGTGTTTTCGAAAAAAAAAAAAAAATTTTAATTATAATATTTCCAACACCCCTATTATATAAATTATTTATATATTATTTCTAAAATGGAAATGAAATCGCCAATGAGAACCAATAATAATCCACTTGGCTGAAACCCCATCACAAAAACAACAATACTCTCTAATAGTAGAGAATTAATTTTATATTCCATTAACAGTAAAATAATTGTTGTTTAAGTTTGTTATAAATATTATTATTATTTAACACCACTATTACGTATTATTGTCATTAAATATTTATTATATTTATTTAACAATGTTGGAAAAAAAAAAAAACACCGTAAAAAAAAAAAAAACACTGTAAAAAAAATAAAAATAACAACAATGATATCATTTATCTTTTTTATCGAATTTAAATTTAATTTCCAATAATAATAACAAAGTGGTTTATATGACTGATAAAAAAAAATATAAAAAAATGTATAATAAAAAAATAAAAACAAATAATAGTTATGATTTATTATTTTATTCAGGTTTAAAATAAAAATAATTACCTTGAAAGATTTGATTCAATTTTGTAGCAGTATATAAAAATTCACATTTTTATTTCTTGGTATAATCTAAATTTTATTGGTTAATAATTTTTTTTTTTTTGTTTTAATATAAACATATCTTAAATATTATTTTTAAAATAGTTTTGTGAAAAAAAACTTAAACAAATAAAAACAATTACACTCATGATTAACAATTTTATAAAAGCGCCACAAATAAAAAAAATAATGAAAATAAATTTTAAATCAAATTAATTTAAATTTAATTAGTTGTTTATTTTATGGAAATAATTGATCGGTTTTAAAATGATTTTTTAAAAAAAAAAAAAAAAAAAAAAAATTAAAAAAAATAAATTTAAAAAACGAAAATTTTTTTTTTTTTATTTTCATTATATTTTATAACAAAGAAATAAAATAAAGGAAAAAGAGATGGCAATCAAGAAACCAGGTCTAGTTTTAAACGAAAATGAAAAGTTACTGGATAGAATCGAAAAGCTTGATTTAAACGAATCAAATATATTAAATACAGATTACATTGCAAATAAATTAAGGACATCATATCCCGAATATAACAGAAAACCATTAAAAGGATTTTTACAAATGGTAGAAAAAGGTAAATAATCTATATTATTCACACCTATAATTAAAATTAAATAAAATTTTAACATAATATAAAAATATTTTTATAGCCATGCAAACACTTATAAATAATTTATCATCAGCTTCAGAAGAGGAGGACGATAAAATGGACGATGAAAAAGATTGTGAAATTATATCACCACCAGCACCAGTTGAAAATAATAAAATAAACGAATCATTAGTATCATCATATAAACAAAACCAACAACCACAACCACAAACCCAAACACAAGCACAAGCACAATTAGCAAATGGCAAAAGAAATAGAGATGATAATGTAAATAATACAGCTACAAATATAGATAATATTAATGTAAATAACAATACACCAAATACAAAACCAAAAAAAAAAGTTAAAAATTCAACAAGCAACAATAGTTTCCCATTTTCACAAAATAAACAACAACAACAACAAGGTGATAAAGAAGAAAACGCACAATCATTGATTCCAACTATTACATTCCAAAACTTGGGTGGTGTTGAATCATGTTTAAGAGAAATTAGAGAACATATCGAATATCCAATTTGTCACCCAGAGATTTATTCACATTTAGGTGTAGAACCACCAAGAGGTATTCTTTTACATGGTCCATCAGGTTGCGGTAAAACTTTATTGGCAAAAGCAATAGCAGGTGAATTAAAAGTACCATTGTTTGCAATTTCTGCAACTGAAATTACATCAGGTGTATCAGGTGAGTCAGAAGCCAGAATTAGACAGTTATTTAGTAGCGCAATTGCTCAAGCACCCTCAATTATATTTATTGATGAAATTGATGCTATTGCACCAAAAAGAGGATCTGCATCAAAAGATATGGAAAGAAGAATTGTTTCACAATTATTGACATGCATGGATAGTTTAAATTATTTATCACAGCAAGCAAATAGTAATGATGGTGCATCAAATGGTAATATTGATCCAGATATTTTAGAAATTGATAATATTTCAACCGATCAAATTAACGATATTAAAAATCTCAAAAAAGGTCATGTTGTTGTTATTGGTGCTACCAATAGACCCGAGTCATTGGATACAGCTTTGAGAATTGGTGGTAGATTTGACAAGGAAATTTGTTTAGGTATTCCAGATTCTGCAGCAAGATGTAAAATATTGAAGGTCATCACCTCAAAAATGAGATTAACACCAAATTTCGATTACGAAGAAATAGCAACTCTTACTCCAGGTTATGTAGGTGCTGATATAAATTTATTAGTTAAAGAGGCTGCAACCAATTCAGTAAATAGAATTTTCAACTTGGGTCACGATAATGACGAGGGTTTATCAAAAACACCTCTACAAAAAGATCAATTAAAGGATTTATATATAGAAATGACCGATTTTAAAAAAGCTTTAAAGAAGGTTGTTCCAGCAGCTAAAAGAGAAGGTTTTGCTACCATTCCAAATGTTACTTGGGACGATGTTGGTGCTTTAAATGGAGTTAGAGAAGAGTTAACCAATTCAATTCTTAGACCAATTAAATTCCCAAAGAAATACAAAGATATGGGTATCGATTCACCAGCAGGTGTTTTAATGTATGGTCCACCAGGTTGTGGTAAAACTTTATTAGCTAAAGCTATCGCTAATGAATGCCAAGCTAATTTTATCTCTGTCAAAGGTCCAGAGCTTTTAAATAAATATGTTGGTGAATCTGAACGTGCTGTTCGTCAAGTGTTCCAACGTGCTGCTGCTTCATCACCATGTGTTATCTTTTTCGATGAGTTTGATGCTTTGGCACCAAAGAGAGGTGGGGATGGTGGTAATCAAGCTACTGAACGTGTCGTAAATCAATTGTTAACTGAAATGGATGGTTTAGAGAAACGTTCCGAAGTATTCATTATCGCTGCTACAAATCGTCCAGATATTATCGATCCAGCAATGTGTAGACCAGGTCGTCTTGATAAAATGGTTTATGTACCATTACCAACACCAGAAGAAAGAGTAGAAATTCTTAAAACTCTTACACAAAAGATTCCAATTGATCCATTGGTCGATTTGGTTAAAATTGGTACAGATACTCGTTGTCATTCTTTCTCTGGTGCCGATCTTTCATTATTAGTTAAAGAAGCTGCCAATCATGCCATCTCAAGAGGTTTCGAAAATAAAGATATTACAGAACATACAAGTCAATCTGATGTTGTAAATATGGACGATTTCATTTATTCATTAATTAAAATAAAACCTTCAGTTTCAAGAAAAGATGAATTAATGTATGATAAATTAAATAATGATATAAATAAATCAAGAGATAAGAAAAATAATAATAATAATAATAATAATAACAATAACAATAATATAAATAATAATATAAATAATATAAATAACAATAGCAATAATAATGGTGTAATGATGAGTTAATAAATTAAATAAAAAAAAAAATTTATGTTTTTTTTTTTAACATTATAAATTTATAAATTATTGTATTAAAAAAAACAAGCAAAAAATGACAGAATAATATAGTTTTTATAGATTTAATAATATTATTTTAAATTCTTTTATTTTATTTGGTTTTTAAATTTTAAAATTTATAGAAAAGATTTAATTTAGTTAACACCTTTTGCATAAATCCTTTTACATCTTTTGCATAAATCCTTTTCATTTTGAGGTTGACCAAAATGATGTATTTGTCTATAATGAACATTACAATTACTCTTTGTCATTACTTTAAAACATCCAATATGATCGCAAAAAATTTCTTCTTCTTGTAGAGTTGAATCGGGCTGAGTTAATCTAAGTTCATCCAATAAATCTGAATGATTTTTTCTGATATGGATAAAAATTGTGTTTAAATTTTTAACGAAATATTTTTCATTACATTGACTACATAGATATGTATCCCCATTCCAAATTATTAAACGCCTAATTAAATGGCCAGGGTATTTTTGCTTTTGTTTTAAATTTGGTTGGCATTGTGAAATATTATCGATATCTTCTTTATTTATTATATTGTTATTACCTAGTTTATCTTGAACCAATTTTAATTGATCAGCATGTGTGTTCCTTATATGATCGTACACATATCTTAATTTTTTATATGTTCTAGCATTAGAGTTGTTTTTAAAACAAACATTACAATATATATTATCATTATTAATTAAAACTAATTTTTTTACTATTTCTACGGGAAAAATTTCTGCAATACTTTTGTTATTATTTCTCTTTACATTATTATTATTTTTATTAATATTATTATTTTCTGAATTATTATTATAATTATTAGGGTAATAGCTTCTAATTTGAAATTGTGGTGAATTTATTCTTTGGTGTTTTTTTGGGGTTTTTGGGCTACTATAATCTCTAAGTCTAGATTCACTATTTAAAATGAAATCTATATTATTTTTATTATCCATTGTTATAATTATAATTATTTATAAATTATCAATGAAATTATTTAAAAATAAAAATTCAAAAAAAAAAAATAAAAATAAAAAAGGGGGGGTGACGAATTTATATTATATATTTTTAATTAATTTTAATAAAAATTTAATTTATTTTCTAAATTTATAAAAAAAAAAAAATATTTTTTTGACAATGAACTTATAAAGTAATTAATTTTTATATTTTAAAAAGATTTAAAAATAATTACAAAAATAATGCATGCTTCTTTTATAAATAGAAATAACCCTTTAAATTTTTTTTTGTGATATTTTTAAATTAAAATAACCCTTTAAATTTTTTTAAGTTTTTTTAAAAAAGGTTTAATAAAAAAGAGATAATTTATTTCTTTATAACACTAAAATAATAATATTATTTTTATTATAGTTTTTTTAAAAAAAAACTTTTATTTTTATTTTTTTTTTATATTTTTTTATAATAATTTTTGAGATCTAATATCTTCTAATTTCTTTAAAACTTCAGAAGGTGATCTTGAAAGTTCTTCGGCGATTTGTCTTTGTTTTTGAGGGTCTAGAGTAATGAATTGTTCACATAGGTCACCATCTATAATATTTTTAACAGGGAAATAATAGGAACGATAGGCCAAGTGGTCACGACCGCAAAGTGGAGCATGTTCATTTCTGAGTTGAAGTTCTAGGGATGAGAAAAAGTCAACATCTTCTCTTGATACAAATGGAATGAGAGCACCAATAGCACCACTAATAGTTGTATATAATAATACATCACTACCACCAACAACCAATGAAGTTTTATTGAGAGTAGTAATTGCATCACCAGCGAAAATATTTGCAATATGTTCGAGTTTATGTGGAGCTCCATTGAGAAGACCAGATTCGAATTTTAATTTTGAGCCAGTTGGATCTTCTTCAACTTCATCGGATACATTTGATGGAAGACGAAGTATAAAGATATTACCAAATTTATCGGCACCTGCGACAGTATCATAGTCAAGCATTACACTGGAGGTTATCCAACGTGGAGCTAAATCATCTGCAAAAACATATAACATATTTTCAAGTTTTTTATATTTGATAAAGTGAATTGACTCTTGAATGTCACCGACTACTAAACGATCACCCAATGAATGAATGTTGACTATAGTGTTTGGAAGGTTTTTAGTTTCGCATTTTCTTAATAATTTCTTTTTACCCATATCGTAGATACGAATATTTTTACCAACACCAGCACATAAACGACCTTGGAATGGAGCCATAGCATAAACTGGTTCTTCGGCTTCAGTTTTGTAAACTAATTGTAATTTCTTTCCTTCTTCTGTAAATTTATAAAGATTGATAGAAGCAGATTCGCAACTCTTTGGATTTAAAATAACATTGTTACCACAACCAACAACTAAAAAGATTTCACCGTCGCCTCTATCACTAAAACTTAATGTACATAAACTGAAACCTGCTTCGTTTTCGTCTAATTGATATGATTCGTAAACTTGATGTGATATTGGATCGATGATTTTAATAATAGATCTCCATTGACCTCTACCTGCTTTTGGTTTATATATAAATTTAGGTTTTTTAATTTGACCATCTGTGTTAGCATCGTCATTGTTATCGTCCATATCCATATCCATATCCATATTTTCTTGAATCTCTTGTTTTTTCTTTTCATATTCGGCTTGTCTTTCTGCATTTATTTTTTCAATATCGATTTGCTCTGTGTTGTAGTTGGTTTCTGTCTCTAATGTAATAATATAGTTGGTTTGTGGATGAACAATAAATCTTCTTGGTGTGGCACCCAATTTGATGGTTTCTTGATTGAAAAGATCACCCAATTTATCGATTGTAAAGATAATAATATGATCTTCGCTTGTGGCTACAATTGATTCTGGTGATTGATCTGATGATAAATTTGAGGCATTTTCTAATGGTTCAACAGAGAGTGGTACGATCTCTAATTTACCTTGATTTGCATAATTTAACCAAACTCTACTGGAAAGTGCTAAAATACCATTACCACCTCTAACTTTAATTTTGAATAACTTGACAGGTCTTCTACCGAGTAAACGAGTACGAATATCTGAAAGTTCACCTGAATAATTGTCCAAAGTAGCACGTTTAATAACACCGTTCTTTAAACCTACAAATAAAAATAATGAGCCACCCATATTTTGTGAACTAACTTTGAAATTATCTACACCTGCTTCGTTGACCTGCATTTCTACAATGGATAGACTTTCAATGTAAACTTTATCGGTATCTAACATTGAAATTTGACCCAAACAGTTATCTCTATCTAATGACAATAATCTTACGGGACCTTCCCAATCACTGATAGCCAAGAAACGAGCCATACTTCTTCCTTTTGGTATTGGTGAGATTTCAATACAAGCAATATCTCTTCTGAAATCCTTTTTAATAATTTCTGTTAAACCACCAGATTGATCCAATTCAAAGTAAATTACTTCACCACCACTTAATGCGATAACTAATTGGTTTTGGTTGCAAGTGGCACGTACAATTGTCTTTCTACCTGGGGCTCTCCATTCATTAGTTCTCATATCGGAACGAATAAATCTAAAACCTGTTGGGAAAACTTGTAAAATTGAATCTTCACCCATTGAACCAATTAATAGAGTTGTTGTGCTTTCTAAAATACCACTTTCATGATTCTCTTGAATAGTTTCACCTACACTTAATACTGATGTGCTTCCAACGAATGATACTACAATATATTTATCGGTTTGGTCTTGTGCTGATGGTGAGTTTGATTTTGGTACAGTCCAAATACCACTTGGTACACCTGGTAATTTTGCATTGGTAATAGTTGAAACTGATAGACCGTGTCTTAAAACTTTTAATGATGAATCTTTACTTGTACCACAAAGTGAATAAAGTTGGGGATTCTCTTCACGAACAATATCTAAAACTTTGAAATCTACAATTGGTGATAATGATGATAAGGTTGATGTTTGTACCAAATTCTTTAACTCTTCTCTTTGTTTGAACCAAATGAAACCATCTTTTTCTTCCATTGTAATGGTACCTTCATTGTTGCCTTCTTCGGTATCGTCACCTAATGATTTAAAGAAATATAATGAATGATCACCAAATTCTGATGCAGCAAACAAGAAACCATTCTTTAATACAGTTAAACTATTTGCTAATGGAATTGTATCGAAATAACTAATATTAACAGCGGTAACCATCTCTCCTTTAAAGTCTAATGTGATCTTGTAGAGGTCACCAAATTCACTTTGAACCAAAAAGAAAAACATATTTTTTTGCTTGTGTGATGAATAAGATACAATTAAAAGACCTTTATCTGGATTACTATTATAACGTCTTGGGATTTTAGCTCTAATTTCTGGATGATCTTGATTTCTATAGACAATATAATCTTCTGATGTGACTAAAACACCACCTGGACCTTCATTACTTCCTGGTACTGTCATTACAATATTTGCAGTGTCATCAATTTGATCACTCCACTTTCTTACAACATTATTTAAACCTAGATCCAATTCATAAAATGTTAAAACCTTCTTTTTGCCATTATCTTCTAAATCCTCTTCAATATTACCACCACTATCATCTGAATAATCTACTGAAATAGTTGCAAATATTGGATTTTCAAAGCCTACATCAACACCACACATTGAAAATATAATTGTACTTGATTTATGTGCTTCCAATGGAGACGAAATTGTTAATTTGGCTGATGAATCTCTATTTAAAATATAAACTAATTTTTGTTTTTCAATAGCACCTAAAAAAACAAAAAAAAACAATTTAATCAATATTAGAATTTAATAATGATAATTATAATGATTTATAAAATAAATCTCTACATACCAATCATAAAGGCTCTACCTTTTGGATCAACTGCTAAATATTGACCTGGTACAATTCTACGACAACCTGAACGACCAAATGTTTCTTGGTGAACTTTATCAAATTGATTTTTAGTTGAATTATATTCTAAAATAACAACACGTCCAGAATCAGAGCCAACAACAATATAATCTTTTGAACCACTTGTTAAACGAAACGGTATAATGGAACGTATAACACCAAAAACTTCTGAATAGAGTACCGATGACATTTTACCATCCTCATCATATCTAATCATTTCTAATGATCTTCCATGATTTAATACAATTTCAATTTGTTTAGTACCTGAAAAATTACCACAAATCGATTGATATACTGCTGTTGGTCTTTGCAATGTTAAATTATATAAATACATTCTTTTTTAATTTTAAAAATAAAAGAAAAAAAAAAATTTTATTTATTTATAATTTAAATTAAATATAGAATATAAATAATCTAAATATATAAAAATAATTTAAATATATAAAATAATAAATTAAAAATGCAAAAAAAAATTTTGAAAAAAAAAAAAAAAAAAAAAAAAAAAAAAAAAAAATTTAAAAAAAAAAAAAAATTTCAATTCAAAAAATTTCAAAAAAAAAAAAAAAAAAAAAAATAAAATAAGTGTGAACACACAATCAATCTTCTTTTGGAAAATCATATATTTCAAAAATTATATTATTAATCAGTAACATATATAGGCTTATCAAATGAAATTTAATAAGAAATAGTGGTAGTGGTAATAAATTATGAAAATTAATTTATTTAATTGATCATTACAACATTATTTTTATAAATAATAATAAAAATTGATTTTTTGGGTTTGTTTTCTTTTACAATACTTTTGGAAGTAAAGGTGCTGAGCTTCTTCCTGTTGAATTTTGTTTAGGAATCAAAGTATGGTAAACACTTTCGAGAGCATTAGGAGCAAGATTAAGTGGTAAGGGATTTTTAGCAGGGGCAACTACAGCAACACCATCATTAGATTGGCTGTATCCCGATGATGAGGAACAACCAACTGATTTTTGACCTAAGGAATGAATATTAGCAATAGATTGAATTGATTCTATAATAAAAAAATAATAAAGTTAATAAAGTAAATAAAAAAAATAAAAATAAAAAAAAAGATAATAATATTTTATTACCAAATAACATTTTTTTTTATATTTATTTAAAAATAGTTTTTATAAAAATTCTAAATTTATTTATTTATTAAATTATTCAATTGAATGATTAATTAATGAATGAATGAATAAATTAATGAATTAAAATAAATTATTATTGAATTTATAGTATTTAAAAAAATAAATATTTAATATTATTTTTATTATTTTATTTTAAAATTTATTTATATAATTTTATTGGATGCTTTAATAAGATCTATAAAACATTTATTTGATTATAGAAAAGAAAAGTGACAAATAAAAAACCATAATTTAATTCGATATTGATTATTGGTTTGTTTAATATTTCAATATTATTGTGAGTATCGAAAGGTATTTTTTTGGACATATATCAACTAAAATATATTTTAAAATTAAGTATCAACTTTTTTTTTTATTTATTTAAACAATTTACAATTGAGGTTATATAATAAAATAATATCGGTGAAACAATTAAAATTAATTTAAAAAATTGGTTGTGGAGGGGTGAGAGGGGAACATTTTTTTGGGGTTTTTTGTGTATCTGTGTCTATATATATGTAATTCTGATGGGTAAAGTATTGTGTGTGTGAAATGGGTTAAAAATTTATTTTTACAAAATTTAAAATTTTAAACAATTAAAAAATTAAAAATAGAAAAACATAGAAATATTATTTTTTGTGATTGTTTTATATAAAATTAATGTAATAAATTTTATTTTATATTATTATTAATAATATAATATAAAATTTTGTGATTACTTTCCTTATTTTTTTAAAAAAAAAAAAAAAAAAAAAAATAGAAATAATCATGAAATATAAAAAAAAATCCATTGAAATTTAAATTAAAATTTTATAAATTACAACACCCCTCTATTTTATATTATTTCTTATTTTGAGATTGTAAATATTTATAATACAAAAAAAAAAATAAAAAAGAAAGAAAAAACAAAAAAAGTCCCATGATAAATAAATTCAATTTTTATTGTTATTTTTTAAGATAAAAAAAATATATATTATTACACAAGAGATTGATATTGATACACAAAAGTAATAAACCATGAAAACCTTTATAAAAAAACCCTGTGTATGGGTTAAATACACAAAAACAAACCAAAAACCAAAAACCAAAAACCTTTGTGTGATGAATAGTTACACAAAACAACACATCCTATCTTTGGTTCAACCATTGGATAGGGATACTATCAATATTAAAAGGCCACCAGATACAAATGGTTCGTCAATTGACGAATACATAGCTTCTCCTTATTGATTATAGTAATTGTAATAATTGCTATATGATGTGAAAAAATGACCCCTGGTATTGTATCCAAATAATTAAGATATAGTATCACAAACCATTGTATCTGGTGTGCGCAATTATCAAAATCATTCTCTTTTTGTTATTTATAAAATTTTTCTTTATATTTTTATATTTATTATATATTGATTTAATTTTCAAAATTATTTTATTTTTTTATTGGTTTATTATTAACCATTAATTTAAATAATTATAATACAATGGTTTTAATTTTGGATTTCTATCTATATTTTAAATAATCTTTTACAAGTAGATGGATTTTTCTTTTTGATATGAATCTAAAAATTTAAAGATTATATTTTTTATATTATTATTATTATTATTTCTTTCTTTGTTGATAAGTTCAAAAATTTCTTTGTTGATAGGTTCTAAAATTTCTGATGATGATTTAGGAAATATAATTGAACGCAATGATGATTTATTATTTTTAAAGAAATTTGAAAGTGCATTTACTAAAAAAATTTTCGCCTCTCCCATATTGTCATCGAAATCTTGGATATAATGAGTATCCCAACCAACTCTTAAAGTGGTAATATTATGATTTTCGTTGCAATGTAAAAGGAAGGCTTCGAAAGAGTCGAAACTGCATATTAATGTTGTAATATTTGGTACCTGGATGAGTGGTGATAGTTTTTCCGAGCTGCTTACAATGAATAATTCTAAACCCAATGATTCTAAAGTTTGATTACCTATTAAAGTTTTTAAAAATTCGGTTGGCTCTTCGTTAAGTGGTGACAGGCCACCATCCATACAATGTCTTAATTTTAACACCTTTAATATTTTATTTTTTGAGATTTCTGATTTTCTAAATAACTTTGCAACCAATTTACTTGTGTCTTCATGATCACCCAATCTAGCAGTAAATGATTTGATTGCTGGAGATTTTGAATTTATTACTTTTTCAACGAAATTATGGGGTGTATGGTGGTATTGGTCAAATTTAATAGTTTCTACTTTAGTACAACAATTTCTTAAAATACCATCCAATTTCTCTAAATTCAAATCCATATCCACATGAGTCCTAGCTCTTGTTGATATTGAGATTTTCTTTACACCTGGATATCTTGATAAAAATTCAAAAGAAAATTCAAATTCATAGTAATCTTCTTCATCTTCGACCAAATCTAATTCGTCAGTGTTTGAGCATGGAACTTCTCCTTTGTCCCAATATAAATGTACACCTTTGAATTCATAAAATTCGTCACATGTTGGATTCTTTTCCATAAAATGAACATTGACATTGTTAAATATAACTTTTTTTAAATGTTCACATTGTTCTAAAAGTTTATTTTTGATCTTTTTAAGGTGCTTAGTTGAATAACTTTTCCAAATGTTATGAAAACTTTCCATCTCTTTATACCTTATTAAAAATAGTTCATAGTTGTTATTTTTTTTTGATTTCTTTATTGACCTTATTAGATTTTTAGGATCAAAGTTGATGATATGTTTATGAGTTATTAAATTTTGAATGATTTGAAATGATTGTTTTGAAATTAAACTTAATTCTAATATCCTTCTATAAGAATTTTTATATGATAGATATGGCAATATTTCATTAAAAATTAATGAATTTAATTTTGTATTTATTTTCATAATTAAGAAAAATTAAAAAAAAAAAAAATTAACCAAAAATCTAAAAAAAAAAAAAAAAAGTTTTGTCGAAATTTTTTTTTTTTTGACGTCAAAAAAAAAAGTAAAAAAAATCTAAAAAAAATAATAATAATTTTAAAATATTTGTAAATTAATTAAAGATATTTTTTTATATTTTATTTTTTTTTTATATTTTTAATATTTTAAAAAACCATTTGAACTATTACTACTTGTGCTATTATTTAAATTATTTTTAAATTTTGATTCTTTTAAAACAAATAGTTTTTTTGATGATTCTATCATGGTATCGATAATGAATTGATTAGATGATAAAGAGATTTTTGTTAAATTTTGGAATTCTAATGGTTTTTTTAACAATTCGTTCACTTGGTGATTAAATTTAATGATTTCTAAATCGTTTAATTCAATACTATCTTTTTTTGCTAGTCTACAAGCTTCTTCTATGGGTAAAATGACATTTTGATGTTCGTTATAAAGATTTTGAATTGTATTAAATGCTTCCAAGTTTTTCTTTTGTGATTCTTCCATTTCTTGAATTTTAGCCTCTTCAATAACTTTAAACATTTCATACAGTTTTTTAAATTCACTTGAAATTATATTTTTACATGATTCTTTTTTTAACTCGCTGGCTTCTAATTGCTTTTTTGCAAGTTCCATTATTTGGTCGTTGGTTTCTCTGATTGGATTTAATGTTGATAATATATTGTTTTCTTTGATAGTGTTGATTATAGATTTGGTTTTTTCATCGTCTAGAATTGATACTCTATGTCCTTTATGATAACCGGATAGACATAGCTTGCATATTGGTTTATCTTGACAATCGTCACATATAAATTCAATTTTCGAATCCCCATGAATTAAACAATCTATAATCTTACCTCCCTCGGTACTGCTGCTACCAACACCACTGCTAATGCTGCTTCCATCTTCGATCTCTGTTATTGTAGATTGATTACAATCAAATGTTAACTCTTGTTTAAGTAACTCTTGAAGATTTCCTTCACTATTAAATTTTTTTCTTTTTAAATTTGAAATACTATTATTCATTCTATTTTAAATAATAATATTATATGTATGAATATATTTATTTTTTTTTTTTTTGAATTTATTATTATTTTTTTTTCAAAAACTATAATAATTATTAAACAAAAACTAATAGTATTAAAAGAAATGGTCTATTAATAAAAAATTATTTAAAAAAAAAAAAAAAGAATATTAATAATATTTAAAAAAAAAAAAATAAAATATTAATAAAAAAAAATAATTTAACGATAGTAATAATCCTATTTTAGAAATTTATTTTTTTATTTTTTTTTTTTATTTTTTTTTTTTTATTTTTTTATTTTTTAAATTAATTTATTTTTTAAAAAACAGAAAAAAAAAAATTATTATTTGAAAAAGTAATTAGATATACGAAGTGAATCAGTTATACAAACTGAGTGTAAATCAAAAAAAAAAAAAAAAAAATTAAATTTAAATATACAAAAAAAAAAAGAAATAAATATTTATTATTTTTTTAAATTGTTTTTTTTTTTTTTTTTTTTTAAAATTAATTTCTTAAATATTCAAAATTTAATTCGTTTTCAATTTCTTGAAATCTATCTATATTATCTGCGACATCTCTGTTTTTAGATTCATGCAAATATTTGTAAAAGAAAGCTTGTTGAAATAAGTAAATTGTTTTTTGAATACCAAAAGATTTAAAGAATTTCTTGTTGTATTTTCTACCTGGAATCCATGTGCTTTTAACAATAGCTTTTGTGTCTATATTGCCATAGTTGTCAGTTGAAACTAAAATATTTGAAAGGAAAATTATAAATTTTTGTTCACCAAATGGAAATCTTTCTAAATTCATAATTGAATGAACAAAATTTGGAAAATAAAGATTGCCGCATTGTGGAATTGTTTTAGCAAACTCACCAATATCACTGGTTTTTAATGCAGCATTTGTCTGAGCTGAAAACATTAATTGTTGGTGAATTGCTCTTAATATGGATGAAATACGACCTAATACATCACTTTGAATATATTGGTAACATTCGATATGATTGGTAAATACATCGGTTTCTCTTTTCTTTTCTACGACTGCATATGTAGCATGTTTGTTGATTCTGTATGAAACAGCTTGTAATATCATTGTTCTCAAATGATTTAATAATACCTCTGCTGTTTTTGGTGTTGAAAATGTTGTTTGGTCATTATCGATACCATAATAGCTTTTAATTGTATCAATAAATCTACCAATACCATTGTTTGGATAATCTACTCTAATTGATTGCTTGATGGTTTCGATATACTCTTGTGGTGGAATACCAAATCTTGAATCGATAGTTTCAAAAACTTTATCATCTTTATTTAGAGATGAAAAAGCATGGATGAATCTTAACGAGTTTAATAAACCTGTAATATTTGGATAACCCTTGTTTTCTAAAAGATTTGACATTGTAATAAGTGTATTTGTAATTGATTTGTTTATTGGTTCAATTTTGTTTGTTGATTTGTTTCCGTCGCTGTCATTAAATGATTTCTTTTTGATATTTAATAATTTTTCAAATTCAAAATCGTTATTTGGAATTGAATTAAATTTATAATTTAATAATGATTCGTAAAAGGTTGAAAAGTCTTCATTCTCTTTAGTATCTGGTGATTCTATAGTTGCTATTTCTTCTGAACTATATAAAATATTTAATAAAAATGAATCGATTTTAACTTGCTCCATTTTTTCGAAAAATGAATTACATGCTCTTCTAATTGATGATTCTAAAACATGTTCCCACAATTTAAAGTATTCTGAATTTGATTTAAATAATGGTTTTAATTCTTCCTGAGTTAAAACTAAAAGATAGGATGTAACTACAAAAAGATTCTTTGGTTGATACTGGATGTAATAAATTTGTTTGTTTAATATAGATTCTAACTGTGATAAGATTCTTGGTAAAGCTTTGAGGTCTATTACAATTTGACGTAATGTACGGATATATTGGAAAATTAAGAGTAGTTCTCTTTCACCAATATCATTCTTTGAAATCATATTGCCTAATACTAAAAAGAGTGAATCGATTTGATCAAATGAAAATGCTAATGGATCTAATGTTACAAAATAGGCAACAATGTTTTTTAATTGATATTTAATTGGCTTCCAATGTTCTTTGTTGATATATAATGGTAACCATGAATTGATTGGTTCACGTCCACGACCACGGACTGCGACTGATTGTACATCTTGACCAACTTGGAAACCTCCAGTTGTTCTTTCTTGACCATGTACATTTAATGAAAGTTTAATTGCATCTTCGATTGATGATTTGCAAATGAATGTTGTTGAAACTTCTTGAATACGAATTTGTGTTGGATCGTCTACAACACATTCTGGTCTTTGAATTGATAAGCCAAAGCCCATACAGTCTTTTTCTTCTAATGCTTCGGTCCAATCTGATAATGTTAATAAATCTGAAAACATTTGTTTTGATGATTCAAAATGAGTTGATTGTGGTTCTTCTAAATCTTCAAATGAATCGATGTCCAATGAAAGTTCTTTAAAGTTCTGTGCTTCTGATTTGATAACGTTTGCGTTTCTAGCAACCTTTAAATTTAAACGTCTTTGTCTGCTTGTGGATTTGAATAAGTAACGATAAGTAATATCAGCGACACGAGCATTTGATACAGAGCTCCATGAGGTACGATTCCATCCATTTACTAATTCTAATAACTGATCTATCATAGATTGACATTGTTGTTTTAATTCTACCAAATCTGAACGAACACTTGATTTAATTTTAAATAATTGATTGTTTTCAATTTGATCGAGATCCTTCTTAATATTTAAAAACTGTTCTAAATATGATTTTTTAATTTCATCTGATGGCTGATTTGATTGATTATAAACTTCAATTTCTGATAAAATTGTATTTATTTTTGAATCTAATTTGATTAATTTTGAATAGTATTTTGATTCGATAGATGAGTCGTTTTTGATGTTTGGTTTGATTTCGATTATTTGTTTATACTTTGAATCACCGTTAATATCCAAGTGTACCTTAACTGAATCTATATTGTAGCCATTTGTATTTAAATTGAAATTTATTTCTGAGCTGCCAAACTTATCCAAAACCAAATTTATAGACTTTTCATTAGACTTGAAATTTGAATCGTTGAAAAAAAGGTTTGATGTTTTCTCTACAAGGCCATCGTTATTGTCGATTTGGTTGTAAATTGTTTCTAATTTGATATTTAATTTTTTTGAACTGCTTGAACCAATAACATACTTTAAAATGAATGTTAATTTTTCTTGAAGTGCAAATGAACCATCGGATGGGTCTGAATATTGATAAATGCCTGGTGATGTGCCTAATAAACGACGGATACCATCTAAATCATTATAACGTGAGTTTTCTGTAAATCCCATAGTGCTGACTACAACACTTCCTTTAGCTACATAGTCGATTGTATTACGAAGATCTTTAAAAGCCTTTTTATGATCTCTAACGGTTGTGTGGGCACCATCTGTTAATAAAACAATTGCAGTGTCTGTTTCTGGGTCATAATCTTTATCTGATTTCAAACCGGTACCAATTCTATAATATTTTTTGATAATATCTTCTGTTAATGAAAAAGCAGATGCAAAACATGTTTTACCATTTGGCTTTTCTTTTAAAATTAATTCTCTAAAGTTATCTTTAATTAAATAAATAATATGAAAAAATTAACAAATTTAAAAAAATAATTAATATTTCTATTTTATTTATTTTTAAATAAGTCTACTAAAATATTTGTAATAGTTACCTTTATTATATTCCAATCTAAAACAAATATTATTAAAAAATAAAATTTCTAAAATGATTTCTTGGTCCTCAACATTTGAAATGATTGAAAATAAATTTAAAAGTGTTGATTGAATTTGGAACCATGCAGTTTGAATTGATCTTGATTTATCTACTAAAACAATTAACAAGAGTTTTCTTTTTGTTTGTTGGACTGGTATTTGAATGGTTCCTTTAATAATACCGTCAATTGAAACTGATTTATCTATTAAATTAGCTTCGAATAAATCTATATTTAAATCATGAACCATCAATGGTTCATTATTGTTATAATCTATATCCATTATTTTAAAATTTGTTTAGTTATGGTGTGTTTTTCATTTTTTTTCTTTTTGTTATTTTTTTTCTGGATCTAATATCAAAAATTAAAAAAATTAAAAAAAAAAAATTTGAAAAAAAAGAGAAAATAAAAAGAAAATAAAAAAAAATCTATTTTTATAAATTTAAAATAATTAAACAAAAAAAAAAAGAAAATAAAATATTACCGAATTTTTTAATAAAAAAAGAAAAAAAGAAAAAAAAAAGATATTAGATCGTCCCAGTCTTCCTAATTTTGAATTTGTATTTTTTCAATACCAAATTATAAAAATTTTTTTATTTTATTTTATTTTATTTTATTTTATTTTATTTTATTTTTTTTTTTATTTTATTTTATTTATTCTTCTATTTCTTCAATTTTATCGATGTTTCTACATTCGTGTAAATATTTTTGATGATGGGCTTGTTTCATTAGTTCTAATGTTTTTGAATATCCAAATTTTTTAAAGAATAACTTATTATATTTTTTACCTGTACACCAAATATTTTTTACTACTTGCTTTGTATAAATATTGCCAAAGTCGTCAGTTGAAACTAAAATATTTGAAAGGAAAATGATAAACTTTTGTTCACCAAATGGAATATTTTGAAAGTCCATTATTGAATGAACAAAATTTCTAAATTGGTGTTTACTGTTATCTGGAACTGTTGAAGCAAATTCACACATGCTTGATGATTTCAATGCTGTGCTTGTTTGAGATGAAAACTCTAATTGTCTTTGAATAGATCTCAAAACAGCTCCAATACGACCTAATACATCACTTTGAATATATTGATAACATTCAATATGATTGGTAAATACATCGGTTTCTCTTTTGTTTATTAGAATTGCAAAAGAAGCATGTTTGTTGATTCTGTATGAAACTGCTTGTAATACCATTGTTCTTAAATGATTTAATAATATCTCTGGTGTGTCTGATTTGGCACCATAATAGCTTTTAATTGTATCAATAAATCTACCAATACCATTGTTTGGATAATCTACTCTAATTGATTGCTTGATGGTTTCGATATACTCTTGTGGTGGAATACCAAATCTTGAATCGATGGTTTCAAAAACTTTATCATCTTTATTTAGAGATGAAAAAGCATGGATGAATCTTAATGAGTTTAATAAACCTGTAATATTTGGATAACCTTTGTTTTCTAATAGATTTGACAATGTAATAAGTGCATCTAAAATTGATTTGGTTACTGGCTCTATATTTACACTTGACTTTTTGATATCATTATCTCCAAATGATCTTTTGTTTATTTTTAATAATTTTTCATACTCTATGTCTTCATTTGGAATTGAATTAAATTTATAATTTAATAATGATTCGTAAAAATCGGGTGAATTATTACCAGAGTCATCTTTGGTACCATATAAAATATTTGATAAATATGAATCGATTTTAACTTGCTCCATTTTATTAAAAAATGAATAACATGCTCTTCTAATTGATGATTCTAAAACATGTTCCCACAATTTAAAATAATCTGAATTTGATTTAAAAATTGATTTTAATTCTTCTTGTGTTAAAACTAAAAGATAGGATGTAACTACAAAAAGATTCTTTGGTTGATATTGAGTATGATAAATTGAATAGTTTAAGAGTGATTCTAATTGTGATAAGATTCTTGGTAAAGCTTTGAGGTCTATTACAATTTGACGTAATGTACGGATATATTGGAAAATTAAGAGTAGTTCTCTTTCACCAATATCATTCTTTGAAATCATATTGCCTAATACTAAAAAGAGTGAATCGATTTGATCAAATGAAAATGCTAATGGATCTAATGTTACAAAATAGGCAACAATGTTTTTTAATTGATATTTAATTGGCTTCCAATGTTCTTTGTTGATATATAATGGTAACCATGAATTGATTGGTTCACGTCCACGACCACGGACTGCGACTGATTGTACATCTTGACCAACTTGGAAACCTCCAGTTGTTCTTTCTTGACCATGTACATTTAATGAAAGTTTAATTGCATCTTCGATTGATGATTTGCAAATGAATGTTGTTGAAACTTCTTGAATACGAATTTGTGTTGGATCATCTACAACACATTCTGGTCTTTGAATTGATAAGCCAAAGCCCATACAGTCTTTTTCTTCTAATGCCTCGGTCCAATCTGATAATGTTAATAAATCTGAAAACATTTGTTTTGATGATTCAAAATGAGTTGATTGTGGTTCTTCTAAATCTTCAAATGAATCGATATCTAATGAAAGTTCATTAAAATTCTGTGCTTCTGATTTAATTGCTTCTGAATTTCTAGCAACCTTTAAATTTAAACGTCTTTGTCTGCTTGTGGATTTGAATAAGTAACGATAAGTAATATCAGCGACACGAGCATTTGATACAGAGCTCCATGAAGTACGATTCCATCCATTTACTAATTCTAATAACTGATCTATCATAGATTGACATTGTTGTTTTAATTCTACCAAGTCTGAACGAACACTTGATTTAATTTTAAATAATTGGTCGCTATCGACTTCATTAATTTCATTTTTGATTTTAAAAAACTGTTCTAAATATGACTTTTTAATTTCATCTGATGGCTGATTTGATTGATTATAAACTTCAATTTCTGATAAAATTGTATTTATTTTTGAATCTAATTTGATTAATTTTGAATAGTATTTTGATTCGATAGATGAATCGTTTTTGATGTTTGGTTTGATTTCGATTATTTGTTTATACTTTGAATCGCCGTTAATATCCAAGTGTACCTTAACTGAATCTATATTGTAGCCATTTGTATTTAAATTGAAATTAAAATCCAAACTGCCATATTTATCTAATACTAAATTTATAGACTTTTCATTTGATTTGAAATTTGAATCGTTGAAAAAAAGGTTTGATGTTTTCTCTACAAGGCCATTGTTATTGTCGATTTGGTTGTAAATTGTTTCTAATTTGATATTTAATTTTTTTGAACTGCTTGAACCAATAACATACTTTAAAATGAATGTTAATTTTTCTTGAAGTGCAAATGAACCATCGGATGGGTCTGAATATTGATAAATGCCTGGTGATGTGCCTAATAAACGACGGATACCATCTAAATCATTATAACGTGAGTTTTCTGTAAATCCCATAGTGCTGACTACAACACTTCCTTTGGCTACATAATCGATTGTATTACGAAGATCTTTAAAAGCTTTTTTGTTATCTCTAACGGTTGTGTGGGCACCATCTGTTAATAAAACAATTGCAGTGTCTGTTTCTGGGTCATACTCTTTATCTGATTTCAAACCTGTACCAATTCTATAATATTTTTTGATAATATCTTCTGTTAATGAAAAAGCAGATGCAAAACATGTTTTACCATTTGGTCGTTCATTTAAAATTAAATTTCTAAAATTTTCTAAAATAATAAAAAAATAAATTATTATTATTTTATTTTTTTATTTTCATAAAAATTTAAAATATTTGTAATAACTACCTTTATTATAATTTAATCTAAAACAAATATTATTAAAAAATAAAATTTCTAAAATGATTTCTTGGTCCTCAACATTTGAAATGATTGAGAATAAATTTAAAAGTGTTGATTGAATTTGGAACCATGCAGTTTGAATTGATCTTGATTTATCTACTAAAACAATTAACAAGAGTTTTCTTTTTGTTTGTTGGACTGGTATTTGAATGGTTCCTTTAATAATACCATCGATTGAAACTGATTTATCTATTAAATTAGCTTCGAATAGATCTATATTTAAATCTAAAATATCCATATTAATATAGTTGTTATGGGTGTGTTTCTATGTATATGGGTGTCTATGTATAGAGGTGTATATGTGTTTGTAAATGTGCATATGTGAATAATTGATAATGAAAAATATTATATTGTAAAAGATTTTTGTTAATTTTAGATAAAAATATTCTGAAATTTTTCAAAAAAAAAAATTATAAAAAAGATATTGTGCGAGCCAAAAAAAAGTTAAAAATTTGGTTTTTTTTCCCATTAAATTTTTTTAAAAAAATATGGTCAAACGTTGTCTTTTAAAATATTTTTGTTTTAAAATTTTGGAATTGTTGTTATATTTTTTTATTGATTAAAAAAAGTGTAAAATTTTTTTTATTTTTTATAATCTAATAGAGGTTCACCACACATGCCAAATTACCAAAATTAGCAAACCACCAGCCAAAACAAACAAACTTGCAATTAAATAAATATATCTTCAAATTTTTATTCAAATAATTTTAAAAATAAAATAAAAATGTATATTGAAAACAGTAAGTATTTATTTTAATATTCATTATTAATTTTAATTATATTAATATAATTACTTTAGAAGAATTTCATATACAATATTTTATAATGATCTTATTGAAAGTATAATTTCTATTTTGAAATCAGATATAAGTAAAAACTTGGAATTTAAAAGATTTAATGAAAAGTAAGTACTATTAACTTTAGAGGAAAAGATATAAATATTGTTAATATTGATATATTTGCAGATGCTTTTGCAAAAGGAAAAGCAGCTTCAAACACGATTCTAAATCTTTCATTGAAGGATTACAAAAATATAAAATTAAAACGTTTCTTTATATTTCTTTTATCGTCATTAAAAAACCAAGGTGAACTTAAAATAACCGATCAAAAAAATTAGGGAGGTGTTTAAAGATATTTTAGTAGAGGATTACCAAAATTTAATCCACCAGAAAGGCCAGAATTCGACATGAAAATAGAAGTAATAGAAGGTAGTAAACCAGTTCAAGTTAGTTATGGTATCAAATGAAATACTGTGTGTAAATAATGAATATTATGTTATTAAACTCTCAAAGTTGTATGGTGATTTACCAGTTTAGAGCATTATTAGAAGTTTTTTCAATTATTCTTTCAGAAATTATTAATGAACATTCAATTAAATCAAAGATTTTAAATGTAAGTAAACAATTTAATATTTTTTTTCAGCACAAAATTAAAAGAATTTGGATTATTAATTGTAAATTTTTTTATATATAGAAATATTTAAGAGTCTTATACCTTCATGAACAATATTTAAAGTAGTGGAGAGAAATTTGAAAGTGTCCAAGACCAAAATAAAGCCAAATTTATTATTTCAATAATTGAACAACAATAGAAAAAAGGGGGGATTGTTACATAGCTTGGAAATACCACATGAAGTATGTAGACTCTCATTATATCAAAGATTTAGAAAGAAACATTAATCCAATTGATAATACTGGTCAATATATGGAAGCATCATTAAGATTTCATAAACGTGTAGAAACTGTAAGAAAAATAATCATCCATAATCAATAATAGTTTTAATTTAGCAATTTATAAACTCAGTGGAAATAATTTTTCATATCAAACATATATTTATATTGATAAAATAAAAAAGGAAAACAAAATTCAATTTCATTGTAATGAAAATAAAATTGAATCATTCCTTTGTATCAATCATCAGACGAAAAAACCAAAACCTCATTTAAATAATATTGAAACCGATGACACACAAAATGAAACCATTAGTGACTATTCTGATAGTGAAGAATGTTCAAATAGTGAAGACAGCGTTTAATAAAAAATAAATATTATAATTTGTACAAAAATAAATAATGTAATAAAAATAAAAATCAATATTAAAATTTTAATTAATTAGAAAACTATCCGATTTCCTCGACAAACTTTTTAAATAAATAATAAACTATAATTTAAAACATTTTAAATAAATTAATAAGCTATATTTATTTGATTAAATATTGATAGTAGAAATTAAAAAGCAAATAAACACTGTTTAAAATTTTTTAATTTTTTTTAATATACTTTTTTTTTCAATTTTCTTTCATTGTATTTTGAAAAAGTTTTTTTTTTTTTTTTTTTTCTTTATTATTTTATATACATACAAATAATCATACATTTTTATTTTTTCATTATAATATTCGGCACATATAATAATTTTTATTAATAATAATAATAATTTTTTATTAATTTAAAAATGGATTTATTACTTTTTTTTTATTTTTTATGTGGTATCGCTAGTTTCTCATTAGCATTTTTTATTAATAACAAAAAATACAATAACAATAATAATAACAATAACAATAGCAATAACATTAGAAACAATAATAGCACCCACACCCAAGACCCACACCCAATCAAAAATAATTTAACTGTACAATTAACCCCATCAGCATCTGCATCTGCCTCTGAACCATCAGCATCTTCCTCAGTCTCTGCTCCATCAGCATCTGCCTCAGTACCATCTGCATCAGCACCATCAGCATCAACATCAGTATCAGCATCATCTGCACCAGTATCTGCACCTGTATCTGCACCATCATCATCAGTATCTGCACTATCAGCATCATCATCAGTATTCTCTGCACCAGCATCATCTGCATCATCTGTATTCTCTGCACCATCAGCATCTGCCTCTGCACCATCACCCTCTACCTCTGCACCATCAGAATCATCCCCTGCCTCTACTTCTGCACAATCACCATCAGCCTCTGCCTCTACCTCTGCACCATCAGCAGTATCCAGAAATATTTCTGCATCCACATCAACTGGCAATAGTTCAATGAAGAAAAGACCATTGGAATTAGATAATGAAATTAATTGTGATAGAGAAATTTCAAAAAAATTTAAACTCGAAGATGAAGAGAGTTTAAACAGAGATAGACAAATATTTATTGAAACGGAAAGAATAAGAGTAGAGAAAGATAGAGAAGAAAAAATAAAATTGGATCAAATTAAAAGAGAAGCAGATATAAAAAGAATATCAAAACTCTACAGAGAAAGGGAGGAAATGGAAGAGATTGAAAGAGCTCAAATACTTCAAAGAGAAAAGGAAATTAAAGAGGCATATGAAAAAATAAATTTAGAAAGAATTCAAAAAGAAAAAGAAGAAAAAGAAAATAATCAAAGATCAAGATTAATAAGCCTCCAAAGACAAAGAGAAAGTGCAGAATTTGAAGAGAGAAAAAGATTAGAGAAACTTCAAAAAGAATTAGAAAAAAAAGAAAGAAAAGAAAAAAGAAGACTAGAACAAGAAAGATTGGAAAAGGACCGTTTAGAAAGGGACGATAAATGCACAATTTGCATGAACGAAATTAAGACCAGCGAACTCGCATATATTGAATGCGTTCATAGATTTTGTTATGAATGTATTGTAAAATGGTCCGAAAGCTACCGTACCTGCCCAAACTGTAGAAAACCATTCAGGGATGTAAGAGTAAGTAATCAATTAAATATATATTAATACATAATAAAAAAATATATTAATTTATTTCATTTATAATTTATTGCAGAGAGAAGCTAATGCCGAACGTTTATAGGCCAATGAAGATAAATATGAAGATGGCAATGATTATTGATGTCGACCAATATTGAAATTGAAAGGCGATTAAACTAATTGTTTAGATTCTTTATTCAATGTTTCATTCTTTAGAACTCGGTAAAGACTAAATTATTAATAAAATCATTTTATTCAATGTTTCAATTATTGAATTCGATGGAATTAAGAAAAGTCATCTACATCATCCGTACAACATTCATTAATAGGAACATATCACATAAGCTGAAATCTACAGAAATAAATTCTAACGGTTCCTCGTTCATTTATAACAAAACAATTCCTAAAAGAAACTAATATTTATTTCATATTTAGTCAAATTTTTTCTCTTTCATTATCCACACGTGCTCGCTATTTAAAGTCTACTATGGGGTACGCTTGAGGTAACTATAATGTTAATATTTTCATAATTATTTTTTTTAAAAAAAAAAAGATACTAACATTTAATTTTAATATTTTTTAGTTTAATCTGATTCTTTCTTTCTCTATATCAAAACGTTTTCAAAGTAAACATTGGGGTTCTTGTCTATTCTTTCTTTTTCATTATCAAAATATTCTAGGTCACAAAGCAAATTTTGGGATTCTTGTCTAAGCTTTCATAAACAGAGATCAAGCATTGGGGTTCTTATCTATTCTTTCCTATTCATTATCGACACATTTAAAGTCATAATACAATCATTGGGGTTCTTGTATATTATTTTTCAAATCGTTCATCAACTATTCAACCTAATCTAGATGCAAACAATTAAAAAAATAAAAAATACACATATATAAATAAATATCTATAGATATAACTAAATAATTTCCTTTTTATGAAAAATTCAGTATCTTTCTTTTAATAATTATTTTTTGATTTGTTTGTCCTACATTAACAATAATTAAAATAATAATAAAGTTTAACATTCATTTTCTTTTATTTAGTTTTTTTTTTTTATATATTTTATTTTATTTTATTTTCTTTATATATTTTATTTTATTTTATTTGTTGTTTTATTATATGTTGTAGTAATAATAAAAATGATGCAGAATAACCATAATAATTAAATTTTAAATAGTGGTTTTCATCTTTTTTAAATTGGTTGATTTCTTTTATTATTTCTACTAAATTTGTGATATAGTTATTTTCGTATAGATATTCAAGAACATTGCATTTATGATGGATATAAACATTTTCCATAATTTGTTGAAATTCCTTTGAATCTATTTTGAATCTGTATGATGGGAATGCTGATTGAAGTGTTTTGAGTAGTTTTATATTTCCATCAAAAAGAGTTCTTTTAAATAATGCATCGATTTTATAACCTTTGAAAGGAATTTCATTTTCTTCATATTCTTCCTCTCGATTTTGATATTCCTCAAATCCATATCTAAACTCCTCCTCCTCGTCATAGTCTTCATCCAGATATGATCCATCATCTTCCTCGTCATATAACCCATATGACCCATCATCTTCCTCTTCTTCTTCGTCATATTCTTCCTCTGAATCTACTTGAGAGTAATATTCATCTTCTTTATTTTCTTTTTCATTTTCGTTTTTGTTTTTGTTTTCATTGTAGATGTAATTTGTGATGAAATCAATCTTCTCTTTGATTATGTATTCTAATAAAAAAAAAAGGTGGGGGTCGTGACTGTTTGATAAAAGATTAATTATAAATTTCTTTTTACTTTCTATTGATATAAAATAGTGTTCCCAAATGAATTCAAATATATCAAATCTTTCACAACAAACTTCTATTACTCGTTGTAAATCTCCAAAAAAAAATGATTCAATCAATGGTGTAAATAATTTTTCAAACCATTCAAATGGAATTGCTTTATCAAATAATTTATAAAATGAAATTGATGGGACGATTCCTAATTTTCTACCGCCTCCTTTGACTAAATCCAAAACTTGTTTATATCTACGATTTTGAAATAGTTTATCAATTTTCATTCTTTTAATTCTTTCATATATTAGTTCTTCGTCATCCTTGGATATATCACTTTCATCACTAAAATCTATGCTCGACTCGTTTGACTCGCTTGACTCGTTTGACTCGTTTGACTCGTTTGAATCACTCAAATCGCTCAAATCGCTTGAATCTTCCTTTTCCCTAACATAAAATGGCTGCTCCTTTAATTGAAAACTATTTTGAAGTAGGTCTTTAAATTTATTATTTTTATCAAGAAGGGTTTCAATAAACTGTTTACTATAGTTCTGTGAAATTGATTCCAAAAAAATTGTAATAAACTCGAAATCTTTTTTTGAATAAATGTGGTCGAAAAAACCCAAAGCTATTTCATGATCCATTTCTTTTTTATTTATTTTTATGTCAAAATTACTTTCCTTTTCAAACATATAAAAGGTTTCATCTGTCTCTATCCTTTTTAATAAATTATATGCTGCAATTGAAAATTTTGAAACTGAAAATTGTCTTAGTATTTTTTTAACTAAATCCCTGTTTTTGTCGGTGCCATAATTGTATATGTCTTCGATTTCTTGGAAGTTTCCTTTCTTTAAATGATAATAAATGATGAATGGGCCTAATAGATCGATTATATCCATCTTTTTATTTATAATTTCTTTGATTCTCTGAATCAAAGTGCTTAGCTTTTTAATGTCTCGGTTATTTGAAAGATGGATTAAAGCTGGAAGTATATGAGATGAATACTTTTTTGGTGCTCTTAAAACGTATATTTTTGCATGATCTATATTATCTACACAAATCCCCACCTCGTGTAAAATTCTTAAATTGAATCCGTTTGATAATAAAAGTAAATCAATGCTTGGTACTTTCATTTCGGAGTTTATTAAAAATGGTTCTTCTCCATTTGATTTAACTTTTACTTTTGCAAGATGTTTATTTTTGACTATTAGAGACTCTAAATCAACCTTTAATTCATTCTTTATAAAATCGTATTTCTCTTGAGTTAAATTTTCGACAAGTGAATAAAAATAATTTTCAAAGTTGCAAGGATTAAAGTTCATTACTTTTAAAACAACTTCATTATCAATAATGCCACTGAAACTACCCAAATCCTTGTCAAAATTTGCTCTATTTTCATTTATTAATTGAAGTAAATATCTTGATATCTCTATTGACCCTGATTCCAGTGATTTTTGAAATAATTCAAAAATTTTATATGATGGATGGATATTATTATCATTATTATTATTATTATTATTGTTATCGTTATTATTAAAACAATACATATTTATTAAATATTTTGTATGATTTAATGATTTAAAGGTTATTGATTTTTCTAATGGAGTAAAATTTTTTATTATATTTTTAAATTTATTAACAAATGGTACAAATAATTTTTCAAAGTCGTAATCCCATATCTGAGAAAAAACAATGGAGTCAAAATAAATAAAATGATTAGATTTTATTTTATCTAATATCATTTCAATTTTATTTTTTTTTAACATTTTTAACAAATTTGTTGTGCCATTGTAACTGTGTCCTGATCTATCCCTTTTTAAAAATGAAAATATCAATGTTTTTAAAAATATGTTTCTAAAAACATTAAAGAACATTTCATCATTATACATTTATTTATTTATTTATTTATTTATTTATTTATTTATTTATTTATTTATTTACGTTTTTTGGTTATAAAATTAAAATAAAATTAAAAAAAAAAAAATTAAAAAAAAAAAATAAAAAATTTGTTTTATTTTTAAAAATAGATTTTTATTTATTTATTTTAATATTTTTTAGAATTATAATAGATGATTGTGCAGTAATAAAAGCGAGACAACAACCTCAAAGAAAGAAAAAAACAACAAAAGTACCAACTTTAGAAAATGCATAATCACATTTAAATACACATGGAAGCAGAGTTTAAAAATAATGTCAACCATCAAGTCTTAGATTTGTCGCAAATTAAATATAAAAGACAGCAGAGTTATCTCAAGGAAATACACATAGATGCGTTATAAGCTGGATAGTAGATGATATTTTTTAACCATCATTTATAAATAATAATTAAAAATTAAATAATAATGATAGTAATTACGATAAGAATAGTTATATGATTTGTTAAAAAGATTAGAAAGAAGGAAATTTTATAGAGAAGGTTTCATGAAAGAGTTTAATAACGACAGTAGTAATAATAAAGAATAAATATTTAATAGAAAAAATAACCATTTTAATAAAAATAAAATAATTATTTATTATTTATTTATCTATTCAATAAAAAATTTTATTATTTATCTATTTAATAAAAATATTTATTATACTTTTAAATTAATGTTTAATTGAATTATTATTTATTTATTTATTTATTTATTTATTTTGAGTGGGATTTCACATGAAAAATTTGTACTACCAGCGGGATAAGGCACCAAAAAAGACCAGCATAATTTCTTTCTAAGATTTGATCATTTCTTTGATGATACGCTTGTTAACTGTTTTCAACTTTATCGAAATCATAAATTGAAACTTTGAATGGAAGAATAAAATTAATAATTTAGTTTTCTTCTAGTTCGTAGGTGAAAAAAAGAAAGAAAATATAAAACTATTAATTTTATTTCCACCGATTTCAATATGAATCAATATCCATATGGTTAGCAAGGTATCGATCACATTTACATGTGTCAAGTCTTTAAAGACTTCCAAAAAACTATCACCACCCCCAACTCCACTAACAAACAATGGTGTTAAATCATTTTCACCATAATTTTTAATTAATTTTAAAAATATTAATAATAAAGTTTATTAAAGAAAAAAAAAAAAGAGTTTTATTTATTATTTATTTGTTTTTTAATAATTCTTTGATTTTTTCTTCACTAATATAGTTTATTGAGAAAAATCAATCATATCTTTTAAATTTACTTATTGAATTAGGTCTACTTTTTTCTCCATAATTTAAAATTGTTGGGGTTCGAATTGGTGGTTTATAGTAGTTGTGATGGAGCATTTTTTCAATAGCTTCACTTTGGTTATGAAATATAAAAGTTAAAGGTAATATTAAGCATGAAACCATAGGTTTTGTTTTTTATATGATTATTTAATATTTTTTCTCATAATTTATAATAAAATAAAATAAATGTATAAAAAGATAAAAAGTTAAAAATTTTAATTAATTTTTTTTTTTTAATATTATATACATTTTATTTATTTAACCACAATTATTTGATGATATTAAACCACCGACCTGATGATATAAGAAACTTTCGATATAAATTACTCGTGGATTGGTGTGGGACCATTAATTCTTTTGTTTATGTAAAACCATAAGATGACTACCATAATTTCTTGGCCAGAGCAATGTATTATTGGTAATAAACTGATTTGCATGATATAATAATTGAATAACATCTATGTATAAATATACTTGGGAATCCACTTCTCGATTTTGTAAAGGAGGGTGGTTATGATGAGTGATTGATGGAGCAATGGAAAGTTTGGCTATTTATAATTAGTCTACAGACAATTTCTACTTTGAATCAGTATAAACAATGAACAATTAGTTAAATGACATGTGAATCGAAATTTTAAAAGGATTAATTCTACTAGCTATAAGACATCGTGTGGTACTGACAGAACATTTCAGTGGTATTAATGACCTATTAGTAGCAATTAATTTGGTTAGTAATTATGTTTGAATCTTAATTAGTTTTTTCAATCTATATAGATCGGTTGTTTATAATTTACTTACTTGTAATAATAATGAATTGTGGTTGTTTTTACAATTAGTTAAAAATATAGGTTTTTTTGGTGTTTTTTAAAAAATAAAGATATTTATCTGTTATAAAAATTTGAACTGGTGGTGAAGCGGTGAAGTTCTTGGTATGTGTTGTAAAAGTTGAATTTGTGGTTGTGGTTATACTACTGGATTATTATTTTGAGTGTGATTTGTGAGGTGGTTCCATTTAAGTACTGAGGTGGTGGTGGTGGTGATTTAAAATAAATGCTTGCCAGCCATCAATAGAAAAATGTGATAAAAGTTGGTGTAGATGGATACCATGATGATTATGGTGCACTTTGTGTTGACTATTTATTTAACATAAACCCAGTGTTTGATTAGAGACCTTAGACAAAAAACGTATTGATTCGGAAAAATAAAGATTTAGAATTTAACTATAAATATTAAAATTAAATATTAGTTTCTTTTATATTTAAATATAAATATAATTATTTTAATGATATCATTATTGTTACCTTAATATTTTGCTTTCTACATGATAATTTGAATTTACTGGTACATTTTCGAGCTTTTTTCAAAAGAGTTGAACTATATGATTTATTATTTATACTATATGTTGATGATAATGTGATTATTTCTGAATTGTAAATTATTTTCATCGATTTTAAAGAAATATTTGAAACGATTTAATTAATAATTTTATCGCCATCTTGTTCATTAATTGAAACATTGAATGACACGATTTAGTTATTAATCTCATCGCCATCTATTTCATTAATCGAGATCCATAGAGTCTAGTTCTTCATTGCTACCAGAAGATAAGTCATGATTGATATGATTATTGGAATCGAAATCTGATTCATAAACGGAGTGATCTTCTGGATCGAAATCTGATTCATAAATGGAATGATCGTCATCATCAGACTCTTCTTTGGACTCTTCTTTGGACTCTTCTTCGGAATTATTTTCAGAACTATATTTTTGAAGAATTCTATCTAATTCAACATCTCTTGGACAACGGCCCTCTCTCTGCAATTAAATAATAAAATAAATTAATATATATATTTTTTAATTATTATGTATAAATATTAATGTATGAAATACTTACTTGAATATAATAAAATATTTTTCTACACAATGGGCAAGTCCTTTCTATTTTGTACCATTTACTGATGCATCCGTAGCAAAATTTATGGGAGCAATCTATCGAGGTGGAATTCTCGGAGTTTAATTTGGTATAACAAATACAACATTCGTTAACCTCTTCTTTTTCTAAACGCTCCCTTTCTATTTTTTCTTTTTCTATTATTTCTTTCTCTAATCTTTCTTTCTCTAATCTTTCTTTCTCTAATCTTTCTTTTTCTACACGTTCCTTTTCTACACGGACTCTTTCTATTCTCTCCTTTTCCAACTTTTCTTTTTCCATCTTTTCTTTTTCCAATCTTTCTATTTCAATACGTTCTTTTTCTGCTTTTTCTCTTTCTAATTTTTCTTTATTTGCAGAATTGAAAGCTGGAGTATTTGTAGTTGAACTTGCACACTTGTAACGGGATTGTTCCTTATTGACTGATGGATATTCTGATCTGTGTGCTTTTTGCTGTTGGTTGGTTGATGGAGTATTTACTGGTTTTGGTCCGTCTGTTGTATTGAAACGTGAGTGTGCACTATTAAATGCTGGGTAATTCGATTCTGCCCTTGATGGTTTAAATGGTTGTTGTGGTTGTTGTGGGCATTGCTGTGGTGAATCGGTGGATGTAGAATTACCAGCAGTACTATAACGTGATTGTTCCCTATTAAATGTTGGGTAGTTAAAAGAATGTGCACTTGATGGTTTATGTTGTGGTTGTGGGTTTGGATTTATGTGTGGTTGATCGTGTTGTTTTTGACTGGTTGGTGGAACACTACCTGTAGTATAACGTGATTGGGTTCTATTAAAATTAGGATAGTTGTTTGTTTGTGTGGTTGAATGAGAATATTGTGGTTGTTGTGGTTGTTGTGGTTGTTGTGGTTGATATGTTGATGGAACTCTACCAGTAGTATAACGAGAGTTGGCTTTATTTAAATCTGGGTAGCTGTTTGAT